AATTATTTTTAGTTGCTCCCTATTTTGAGTTTTAGTCATTGCATGTCCCTTTTTTTAATCAAAAGGACACGGATCCGATCCTAATTCCAGATCCTGTACTTCCTTCCATGCTTCCCATACTATTCTTTTTCATAATACCACAATCAACCTTTCTTTCTTTCTCTCTACTATCCCCCACCACTATTTTATTATTATAAATTAATACACCTTTTCAAACTCAGAACCCATTTTTCATTAATCAAAAATAATATTTAAATTATTATTTTATTCTATTTGACCTCATATAAACCAAAAATATCAAATCATAAGTTTTTATTACATCTCATCTCATAAAAAATTTATAAATCAGTTACTTATAGTGTTATACTATAACGAGACTTGTCTAAAATAAAATAAAATAAAATATACTTTATGAATATTCTTATAAAATTAAGTAGTGTAAGTTTGGAGTAGATATCTGACACCCTCTGGGACACACTTTAGTTTTCACGTACTGTTTTTTCTCTCTCTTTATCAATTTGGTTTTTGTTTAGATTTGTATACATTGTTATTTTTGTTTCACTATGGCTGTGGGTCCTGTTCTAGGTTATTCACAATTAGTATGTTTTAACTAGTATCGTGTCACGATGATGTTTGGTCTTTTTGGTGTTTAGTTTTAATTTCTAAATATGTGATACAGGCTAAAAAAAATATAGAAAAATTAATAAGTTTTGATATTTTATCCATAATGATGATTTTAGTCATTAAACTCTTCTATTTTTTTAATCACAAATAAACATTTTTTATTTGTTTTTTCGCTCAAAACAATTGTAGTCATATTACAAATAAAAAAATTATTAAAAAAATAGAAAAATACGAGCAAGATCTCAAATTTTCATGAAACCTAATGAAAGAGTACAAAACAATAAAAATATTTTCGTGTTAAACTCACTGATTCCCCCGTTTGAACACTTAAACAAAATTTCCATTAATTTGAACAATTATAATTATTAAAATAATTGCTAAAAATTATAAAAGAAAAAGTATAAAAATCACAGAATTTGTATGAAGTGAATTAAACACTCATTAACAATAATATAAATACCACCACATCTTAATAATTGCAATTACATTAAATTAATACAAATTCATTGTTATAATTTATTAAATAGCTACAAATCAAACTACATTATTGAAACCGTGCAAGAGAATCAATATAACGATCTCAAAAATTATATCTCCCATAAACAAGGATAAATTCGGTGTACTGTCTGATAATCAGATAATAAATATAACAAGTAAATATTGGAAGAACAAAGCTTCAAGACAGAAAAGAGCAAACCATAAATAAATAAATAATATATGTATATTTTCCTAAAAATAGTAAAAATATCACATCAAATTTCTTCCTTTTAAGAAGTTACAAGATAGATTCCCTAATGAACCTTTTTTTGTGATCTTTAATACTTTAATGCAAAGTGTTGTTGGTACGTGACTTATTCCGTTACATGTTTAATTTAATGTTTTTATTATGACCTTTAGAATGTTATAGTTGGACACGCAAAATTAAAGGTTCACATAAAACAAAAGATTTGAGGAACTTGCTAGCAACCTATATTTGGTTCACTCTTTTAACCAATTATCAAAATGTTAGGGTCTTTGGATAAAGGAAGATGAGAGAGAAAAAGACATAAATGTAGTAGCAATGCTTCTTATGATTAAAAAACAACATGGTACTGTCACCCTTAATACAGAAAGGTTTTAGTTGTGTGCATTAATCACTTTTAACTTGTAATGAAATATCATTTGCTCACTGTGAAAATATAGACAATAATAGATTAAATTAAACAGAAATAAATTAATTATGGGCTTCTAGCACTATTTGAAAATATTAAAATATCTAAAATATTATGAGATTATTCTCTATTAATCGTAGTTACATAAGCAAAGCACTTTAATTCTACTGCCTGATCAAGTGTGGGCTCTGTAATTTATGAAAAGGAAAAGGAGAGTGTTTTATGAAGCATTTCTTTGTATAAAAAAATGGATTCCGAATAACCTTTCTATAAAATATTGTTTGATGCAGAAGCTCTCATCATAGGTTGTTTCTTTCGGCGATAGACTTGCGAGGACTTTCTCTCTATACTAACTGTAACATATAATACAATAACATTACACTTAACGGGACAAAACAAGTTAAAAAAAAACCTAAAAAATCACAACAAAGACATAGAATAAAACGTAACAAAAATGATAGAATTTGGTGTTACTAAGGTGGCCACGTGGGCATGAAACAACAAATACGGGTGATAACTTTGAAACACTACGAGAGCTTGGGGTGGCCCAATATTATTTTGTTTTATATTTCCATTCTTTGATCGTTTGTGGTGAGTGTCTAAGTCTTCCATAATCTCATGCTGACTTTAAAAAATAATTTCAGAAGAAGCAAGTTGTGAATCCAAAGCACTAACAAGCCAATAAAGAGAAAGCCGTGAAGACAGAGAGAGAAACCATGTAATTATATCTGAAATATGCATGTGTGAATGTATATCAAATGGTTACGCAAGAAAGTGTTGAAGATGATTGATTCTTCAAAGCAACTTGACATTGATGACGAAAGAGACATCCTAGCTTTCGTATTAGTATGGTCCGTGGTAGTAATTATGGTGTTTGTGAAACCATTACAAAGAAGGAATTATTCATTGTTTTGCATTGCGTGCTGAAATGGGTAGTAGAAATGGGAACGAAAGAGAGGACCTATTTACCTCAGTTTAGAGCTAGGCCCTTCAAATGTGCAAGAGATGAAACTATAAACAACACAAAAGAGTTGGTGTGTTCCTTAAAATTTAACGATTCTTTCTAATTTATACATGAATGAAAACGTTGGATTCAAATTGCGATGAAAAAAAATAGGCAATTAGATTGGATTTGTGATTTCATTATAAACTTTAAAAATTATTCAATTATTATATTTATGTGACTTTAATTCAACAAATTCTCTTTTATAGATAATTTATACAAGCGAAATTGAAAATTTCGGTAAAAAATATTAAAATTAAAATTTAAAAATACCTTATAGATTGAAATCTAAAAAATAAGATTCTAACACATATTTATTACGGTTTAATATTTTTACAGACAATATAAAATAACATATATCTCTTTACATAAATGGATTCGTTTTTATCATGACACGTTTTCACTGATTAATCTTTCAGTGAAAATTTTTGTCTACACAATTACAACATACAAAAATAAAAAATATAATCAAATCTTTAATATTTAACTATTTTTTAATACAGAAGAGAAAACCACTTACTCTATAAACAAGCTATATATAAATTCTTCTTTATAGAATAAAATTGCAACAAAGCTAACCATTGGATTATAGAATATTGCGATTGTGATTATATATGTTAATTTTATTGAATTTTTTTAAAATACTTTATTATGATATTTTCTTATATTTTAAACATATGTAGTTACATGTTAAAATGAAGTTAATAATAAAGTATTAATTAATTTTTAACTCATGTCAACTTTTTTTAACTTCAATTCTTGTCGAGAGGAGTTTCAATATAACAAAATTAAATTCATGAATTTTCATGAATAAGTCAATGAATTAATTAACTTTAATTTTTTTTAATTTATAGCTTTTTTAACTAAGAGTAAGAGAATAAGAACAAAATTATAATAAAATATAAGATTGTTAAAGATTATTTTAACGTGTTTTTTCATATATAGTTCATCTATAAGAGGTGTCCAGATTGTCGATGAATTATATTAATAAAAAAGTAAATATGTTTTTTATTTTTATAATTTTTTTAATAAATTTCCATTTTGTTTTTATTCCTAGAACGTTATCAAATAATTTTATTCACTCTTCAAACTTTTACAAAAATATTAAAATAAAAACAAAATTTAAAAACTATTAAATTAGAATTTAAATACGAGGGAGAGTACTGCATAAGTGAAGTACCGTTAAAATAAGAAGGATAAAAAAATTCTGACTTTAAAATTTTAAGTTAAAGAAATCAAAATTTTAAATTTTCTTGTATTATGAAGTTCTGGCATCAGTAAAAATATATCTAAGTAAAAAAAAAAAATTCTCACCCTATATAAACAGCCACAATGCCATAATACTTTAAACTAAATTTGGTAGGATAATTTTGAATTTAAAAGCAAACCAACTAAGTAATTAAAAAACAGTAAAGTTGAGTAAAGTAAATTTTCCCTTAGAAATCCAGAAATAATCCAATTGGCAAAGGTTATCTATCTATGATTCTGCATTTAAATTTTGTTCTTAAATTGAATTGGGAGGATGAAAATGGAGGGGCTGTAGTGTCAGCTTTAACAGGTATTGATATAATCTAGAAGAAGCAATAAACAATGTTTTGAAGGGTACTGTACGTGTTTACTTCTTTTGGTGTCCAAAACCCTAAACTAGAATTGCAGGCCTAACCAACCTTGTATCAGATTCTCAGCGACACTGCCTTAAATTTGTCATTTTCATAGTGTCCCAATGGCATAGGGTGCCACTTTCAAACCCTTTAAACAACTCTACGTACATTGAGCCTGCATCAATCAATTTATGGTCTTGCCTATATTTATCAATCACTATCTCAATTTCATAAGATCATTCTAAATTTTAAATATCTTTTTTTTAAGTATCAATCACTGATTTGAGGATACAATAGGTAACTACTACCTTCTAACACCTTTCAAGCAACACATTTTACTATTAATCCTTCCATTCCGTTTAAATGTGGGGGTTATGATTCGTTTTGAGAAGCAAAAAAATATAATATTTTTCTTAATATTAACAAGATAGTTAAGATAATAGTGTTCTTTATGGATACCATTTTGTGGAAACCAAGCATGAATGTAGCTAGCTAGTTTTGTTTGTAAGGCATTTGTACAATTTACATTCAGAGTTGGCCCTGTTGGCATATATACATAATTACAATTCTCTCAAGTGAAATTGTTTGTTCAACAATATTGAGATGGAAGAAGGGGTAAAACTAGCGACCAGTGGGCAAGTTAACACCTTCTCTGAAAAGGATGTTAGCAACTGAAGATGTCCATGTAGATGTAGGGCTGCTAGCATTCTGGCTATCGGTATAATGACTTTGATTCTCCATTGCATTCACATTCATGTTCCTCCCAATTTTCTTTCCAATTGACATCCCTAGTTTAACAGTAGTAAGAAGGCCAAATGCAATTAGAAGAGGTCTTACTGCCCAGTGGTGATCCTCTACATGTTGATACTTCTCTATCATATTTGGACAACTTTTAAAATTAACCACATCAACCTCAGAGGGATCAGCCAAGAAACTGCTTGGTGCATCCCAGAAGTTCAACATGCCTGGGAACTTGACAACTAGACACCCATTTGGTAGGATCCAAGAAATCTTACCAGTAGCCCAGCCACCTCCCCTTTTGCGCGACCATTCAAATCGGGGACTTAAAACATTGGGTTTCAGCCTAATGAACTGCCCCACGCAGTAAGATTCTGCCATTTCAAGTTCTGAAGAGTTTCCTTCCCAAAGAGTTCGTAGGCCGATAAATCCGACAGTCACTCTGCCATCACGATTGATAGAATGAAGAATACCCACCGGCGAATGTTTGTCATCTTCTTCTTTCATCCGCACCCAATCCCCAGCTCCTAGACCATTGGTCACACGTTCAAGAGTCGATGCATGAATCCTTACAGGGTCATGAACTCCATGGAGCCTCACTAAAACAAATCCATGATCTGCATTACCAACAACATTTCCTTCTGGGACCTCCATGTTCTGTGGATTGCATGAATTGGAAGGCTTTCTAGAGCGCACTGTATCACCCACCTGAAGATGATCCTTGGAGAGGGACCACTGTGTGTAGCCAGTGCTACTTGATTTTGCTATAGTCTTCTGAATTCCAAGATATCTCCATCCTCCATCATTGGCTACTGCATTCCACGAGCTGCAAGGTCGGCAGAAGAATTAAAAACAAAGTCTTATTTAACACCGGATCTATAAATTCTTCATGATTAAAAATTGAATTCTACTGAAATAATCATGCTTGCTCAAAAACAAAGACAGGCTTTGCTCAAACATTATTGCTTTAACACTTTCTGGAACAAAAATTATCTCAGATATATTGGACAAGTGTAGAACACTTTACTTCTCAACTGATTTCACAATCAAGCTTTGCAAGATTCAGTTACAATGAATGGACTTCTAACTAAAATAAGTAACAAAATCACCAGCTACATGTTATGCACCAAATGCTTTCTCCTAGCCACTTTTCGGCTAAACTAAATATTTCACCATGTTATGCAGTCATGTACAATCTAAATTGTAATTGATTGATCTAAACAATATTATGTTTATTCAGACAATATACAACATGACACTAAAAATCAAGAAATGTAATTTCTAGAATTGGTGAGGATTACCCCGGCATCGTAAGCACTGATTAAGCTATTTCTCTATATGACATCGGATTAAACACCCCCCTTAATGCTGCACCTATGGCAGCTGAAAGAAGCCACAACTAAGGTGGATCAAGGGTGACTTAAGGTCACTTACCAGCACTCCCACCGACTCATGCCTAGGGCTACCATCCTGGAACGTGGCAAATACAAGTGGCTCAACAAGATCTAAAATAGAATTCAACACAAAAAAGAGTTTGGGTTTAAATCCAACTTCAGTGATAATTTTACAGAATATGAATGTAAATAAAGGTTACGACAAAATACATGCGACCCAAAACAATGCAACTTGGAATATCTACCATACTAGCCTATATGTGTAAAAAACGGTCACCTAATCATAGAAACTTCCTAGAAACATTGCAACTAGCATACCTTCTAAAGACAGCCAAAATATCTACCATTGAAGGGCGATTCCTCAAATCATATTCAAAGCAACCACTGAGGACATTTTCAACTAAAGAAGGAAGGCCATCAGGAATCTGGGGTTTTTCATACTTCTCAACAACGGATCGGTATATTTCACCAATAGGACACCCATACCAAGGTTGATTACCAATCAACATTTCCACAATAGTGCACCCAAATCCCCATGAATCTGTTTCAAAGGATACAGGGCCCCTCACTTCTGGTTGCCATTGTTCTGGAGCCATGTAATTTGGAGTACCAAGCCTATTGGCAGTATCTGAGCTTAGGAATGAGGAACCAAACAGAAGATTTGGAATACCAACATCTCCCAGTATTGCTTGATCAGTATCATCGAGAAGCACATTGGATGGTTTAAGGTTGAGAACTAGGATCCCTTTTGAGTGAAGTTCCAGAATACCTTGAGCGAGATCAATACCATACCTGCAGTCCATTACCACGCCATTAGTATTGTTGACCAGTTCACCCCACCATCATGTGCTATGAAGATAAACATGTAACACACTTTAACAAATACACCAAAATCACATTACCTCAGAACATCAGGCAATGAAATCCTTCCCTCTCTGAGTCTGGCGATCTTGTCACCAACTGATCCCTCATAAAAATTCATAATGATGCATATCTGTGAGCATAAACAAATATATTAGCTATATAACAAAGTCTCACAAAGGAAGTTAAAGATCTCCCATATACTAAATAAAAAGCATAATCCATGTCTAACCCTTCCATTTAAAATTGAAATCCCAAGTAGCCAGCACACCCTAGGCACTCCTTGACAATTGAAATATAATTCACAAAATTTCTCTAATGCAGTCTTCATATGTTCCTCTCTGATTGGAGGTAACATCTTGGCAGCAACTTCATGATACTCATCATAATCTTCAGTTGATTGATGATGAGTTGCTAACCAAACATCACCAAAGGGTCCTCGACCAATCCTGTGTCTGAGCTTTAACCTTTCAGGTTCAATCCATGGGTCTTTCCTGCTGGATGAGGCTTTGACAGTTCTAAGGTGATCGGGATCATCAACCAAGAGTTCAAAATCAAAAGGAACTGGTGGAGTAACAATATCTTGTGCCATTCTTCAATCTGATGTAGTAACATCCGTAAAACAATTCAGCAAAATGCAGAAAGCACGCACAAAATAAAAGAACAATCCAACAAATCATCGTGAATCAAGGATAGCCAAGAATCCTAAGACATTTTTTCATCACCAGAGCAAAAAAACTAAGAAGGTGAATACAAAGTACTTCATTCATACCCAAAGTCATCCCTGATAGGGGTGAGAGAGGTCAATTCATGAAAAATATAAAATATCAAAAACCCACATTAATCGATTAACATCACTAACACAACACAAGTAATACATGTTCTTTCCCTCCTCCGCACGTAGAAAACAAATATGTCATGTATTCGTGATTGTAGGAATCGAAATAACTTCTATATTTTTGAGGACGAATATATTTTCCTATAAACTTGTCAGGAATCAAACCGAGTATTCAAAATTATACATGGTATTGATTTGAATCATTCCTTTTTGCTGAACCACAAAGATTCAATCTTCTGGCAACTAAAGTCAGAGCAAATCCAAGTGAGGTATTCTCCTAAACGCAACTCCAACTTAGAATCAAAAGTAACGGTTTCACAACCAACCATGCTAACGCATGCACACATCAAACTAGTTTTCGCCTTCTCAGAACTAAAGAACAATAGTACAACATACATGAAAAGTATTAAATTCAAAATATGAAAAACAAGCAGAAGTCAAAAGCATGAAAAACAGAAACAAAAAGGGGTACCGAATTAACTGGGCACGTACTCAGAAGAAGAAGGAAATATCTTTAGCGTCAGAGTGAGCACCGAGAAACCAACGGCTTCATAAGCAGAGAAAATTTTTAGGTTTACACGAAAATCAAACTAACTGAACGGAAACCAGAACTAAACTGAGGTTGGGGACATGTGTTCTACCATCATTTCGATGGAAATAATAATTACAAAAGTTAAGGGTAGGAATGACATTTCATCAGGTGACGTGATGCGATGATTGATTATTGTCTATAAATATTTGAAAACACTAAATATCCAATGACAGTTTAAAGATTTATGTAGAAGAATTTTAGATTTTATTTTATTCTTCAATCATAAATCTTAAGATAATTTTAAACAATTATGTTTTAAATTAATATTTATCATAATTTTTAACTATGGTGTATTTTTTATATTATTAATGAATAAAGAATGGAAATAACATAAGCTGTAATATGATTGATTATCCCCTCCCCGAGTTTAACGGCACATTGACGTGTATACAGAGAAGAAAAAAGGTGGAAAATTACTACAAAATGAAATCAAAGAAGGTTGGAATAAGTAGTTGTCATGACTCATAATCAGTGTTTTCTCAGTTTCTATATTTGTGAAAATAGCTTACTGAATTAATTATATTTACTAAAAGTATATTAATTATTTTAGGTTCATAAATAAAATACTAAGGATTTTATTCTGTTTCGTTATATTAAAAATTGAGAATCGAAGAGTTTAAATTTAAATATTAAAGTCGACCACCAATGTTATTTTTTTTTTATTTCTATATACTTTAGTTATTTAAGGATGATTTTGAAAATTTAATGTTATTAATCAAACTATTTTTTAATAAGTATGAATTAATTATAAATATTTTATTGGAAGAAATAGTATTATTTTAACGAGTTATTGAAAATGAAAAAATGACGTATAAAATACAGAAACTATAATTATTAGTTTATGAAAATAATGTTAAAACTACATCTTAAACGTGATTACACTATCTGCAGACGTGAAGTGACTGTATATTATTTAAATAAAGATGACGGAAGTGTGAAAGAATAATGCGTAAAGGAACTTTCGCTACAAAAAACAATGCTTAAAGGATTAAAATAGTAGCACCAAATGAATATTATTTTTGTCTACTGCGGTAGGATCTACCAATTTTTAAAATAAAGTAAAAATAACATATACCAAGTAATCATGATGCTTTCATTATGTTACATTAAGACGTTGAGTAGTCTATACTAGGAAGTTGATATTTCATGCACATGAATTGGGCTTGGAATTGAATTGAGCTAGACAAATCTAGGGCTTGAAACTGGAAGTTTAACCTGCTTTATTTTTAATGTTTTTTTTGTTAAAGGAGAAACTGGACTAAGCAATTATATAAAAATTCTTAAGTTGTTATAGAGCTTGAAAAAGGGGTTTTAAAAAAATTTCCCCATATCAATTTGTGGTTGACTTATTTTATAGTGTAAATCTTAAAATATAACTTATTAGACATTTGATCTCAATTAATAAAAGGATTTATATAAACTTGAGTCATAAAGTTGACTGGTAAACTTATGGGTTTACATTGTAGAAAAAATGATATTAAAAAGTTGTTAATGACATATAAGTTTTACAAAAATATTACTAATAAAATAATAATTCAACGTTTCAAGTTCACAATAAAACAAAATAGCAAAGCACAAGAATAAAGTGTTATAACTCATTAGTATCAAACAGAATCTAACTACATAAACAAGCAAATCATTATATAAAAATTCAACATGAGTTATTAAAGTAGAAATACTTAAAAAACTTTTTTTTTAAATAATTTGTCATGATAAAACTTGGTCATTGCAGGGAGCAGAGGGTACAAAAAGTACAATCCATTTCAAATTTATTGATTTATTTTTTATTCGAGAGATTACATAAGTTTCATAAATTTACTGAAACTAGCACAATTTATCTAAAATAATAATTTGATAGAGTTAACTTCTTCTGTCTGCTTACAGAATGATAAGAGTTACTCAAAAACTCTTATTTTGAATACTCGTTCCTTTTTCTGGAAATGACTAGCTGTGGTTCTAAGATTTCATAAAAACTGCATGGGATTTGAATTCTCCTATGTAACCTAATGATTGGTTTTAAGCTGCATTAATTAACTATATTCCGACTCGTGTTCTTTCCCCCATCTCTAACATGACCTTTTCCTGTTATTCTGTTTCTGTTAAATTTCCGTTGGCACAGGCATCACTTAACCTGACCCCTGATGACAAAAATCAGAAAACCAAATGCTTTTGACTTGCGTCTTTTGATTGCAGTTGGCGGCTCGCATGGAGTAAGCAATCCCTTAGGCCACGTTAATTTTCGTATTAGTAATGCTTTATTAGGAAACAATCAAATTAACAAAACGGATTTACACGATACTTCCCAACGAACCACTTAAAATTTATCCAACAATTCAATAAATGTACAGGAATAAAATGTTCTGCAGAATCTCCGGTAGCCTTTCAGAAAAACACGTCACATCTTTCATTCCTCGTCACAATGCAAATACATTAACACATGCCAAAAACAAAGTTATAACTCAATGTCTCATCAAAGATCGATCTTGATAACTTGTTCCTGTTGCCTTTCCCAAAATTTTAACATAGTAAGATGCATATAGCTTCATGGTTTTAAAACTATGTTCCCAAACACAATTGCGGCTGTAATATAAAGATTTTTCAACTCACTAGTGCAACTACGGGTTCATTTTCTCAATATAAAGAATTGTCACAAAATTGCGACCACAATTTTGAACCATGAATGGCTCGGGTGGGGATTTTACCTACGTTTTCTATAAATTTTAGAGTAAGGAAGGGGAGTCCAATTCAAACGTGAATCTCGGATTTTACATTGAACATTGTTGCGATTAAAGAAGAGGCACATCCAAAGGAGAATAAGTAGAAACTATAAATTCTTCTTTGGTGGGGGGTGGGGATATTGAATTACATACATATATATTAAGCAATAGGAAGAACCTTTTTAACAATCTCCTGGCTAAGATCTGCAATCTGGGAATCAAGGGCCTTGATGGTTTCTTCCTTTTGCCTCTCCAAGTTAGCCAGAGCCTCCTGAAGCTCAGCCTCCACTTTCTTCCTTCCCTCTGCAATCTTCTGCTCCACCTCAGCCTGCGTCTCCAGCTTCATCGCGTTCAGCGCCGCCGCTATCTCCGCCCGAGCAGCCGCCATCACGGCATTCGCCTTCTCCTCCAACTGCTTTACCTCCTCCGACGTGTCCTTCACGCTGCTCAGCTTCTCCCTGATAGCCGCGTCCCTCTCGTCCATGAATTTCCCTAGTGGGGTGAACCATATCTTGTCCAGAGCAACCATCAGCAGCAGAAACTCCACCATTATAATTGGCAGTGTCAGGTTGAAGTCGAAGAGTGCAGCTTTCTCCATTTCTTCTGCGAGGGAGGGCCGGGCCAAGACCAGTGGTGCTATTCCCCCGAGGAGGGACAGCATCTGGGGCTTGGAAATTGGGAATTTCAGTTTCAGGATTGGGACTTTGGGGAGTGAAATTTGGAGAATGGGAAGTTTGGATGTGGTGGGGGAACGAGAATTAGTGCAGACTGGAACCAAAGGTTTAGTGGAAGCCATAATCATGTTTGCCATGGCTACTGCTTTGTGATTAGGATGTGTGTCTCAGCTCAGTCTGAGGATTGGATTGGAGAAAAGAAGAGGAGTTGTGAGCAGGGCTATCTAAATTCTTCGCCACACAAATACCTGAGGTTGTGTGGCAGTGGCTGGCTGATGGAATCTGGAAGCTGGACACTCACAAACAAGTTGGAGCGTTCCATATCTAAATGGACCAGGCCTTGGCCCATTTGATGTCCACCCAACTAATACCTAATCCACTTCATTCTCCCTAGGCCCAAATGTATAGCTCCGGTGTAGTTTACTTAGAAGTAAGACGAGAATGTGGACTGACTAGTTAAAAAGAAAAAACAGTAGCATTAAAAGTGTACACGAATGTCACGATCAAAATCAAAGCTGCAATTGAGTTAAAAAAACCTACAATTATAATGCCTTTCTGCCTTATCACAAATTTGGCTGATAAAAAGAGGTAGGAAATCCTTATCCTAGGTAACATATTAAAGCAACTGAAAAAGCGTTCCATTGCAGGTAGGTTGTGATGACCCCCACTGCAGCAACTAAGTAGCCTATACGTATGCCGTGGTTGATAGACTAAGCATGATGAATTCAACTATAGTTTTCAAGGCATATCGTTCTGTACAGGGATACGAGAAACTCCAACTGCAATATGATACGAGCCAGTGTTTCATCCTGTTATTATTGTCTCTATCGCTAAAGACACTGAAATAGCCAAAGCACGGACGGTTCAAAAACTCTTTACAGTGTGTATAAAGTAAAGAGGTTAAAATGATTAAAATGCAAACTCTATAAATATTCTGCCCATGCGGGTCTCTGAGAGTAATCCTGCCTCCTGCAATAGCGTAGAAGTCTTTTAATTTTTCTAAAAGTGATCACTATAGATCTGACCATCGTTGAGCAGCAAATCATGCCCTCAGTTCTAGCTCTTATCGTAACTAACAGACGGCTGTGTGAGAATAGTCCTTCCGAAAAGCCAGATAGCCAGCTCTTTCCTCCTTGATTGTGCTCTGCACTGGAATTCTGGATCTTCCCCTTCTCTATGACTATATCATTCAAACCAATGTCGTCGTCATCGTTATGTTCTTTCTGTTGATATCTATTCACTTGGTGAGACGATGGCCTGCACTTCGATTTATATCATCCAACTAGTGTAAGGACTGGTTCGAGAAAATTATAGCAACGTGCATGAAATTCAACTAGATGAAATTCCATATTTCCCATCTTAGTGTTTCCATACCCTTTCAAAGAAAATCGTTTTTAAGTTCTAATAAATTAGTCATAATGGTAATTTTCTATGTATACCATATATTTAAGACCTCTCTAGCTATGGTGTCTTTTATGATTTTAAATTTTATACCTCTAACAAAGCAACACATTATACACAAGTCTGCAGCATCTACATATGTCAATATTTGATATCTAACTGAAAGGTTAAAGTAAAACAGATCGTGTATTATTTCGTGAATTTCATTGGAAGACACCACATTGCATCAACACAGTTTAATTGAAAATGAGATAAAATTATAGGGTAGATAGCTGATAGCCTGATAGACCTGACGCCAGTACAAAGGCCAAAGTTCATCTTATGCAAGATGGCAAACTAGAATGTTTTGCATGGTTATATTGAAAACTAGTTACCTCCTGTGTCTTTTCAAATTGAAACCTCGTTTCTTTGACTGCCTACTCTGGCAACTGCAAGTGTGAGATATATGGTGCACAAAATGAAGCTGCAGAGTCCAAAACAAACATGAGTTAAGAGTCATGAGTGCAACAGACTAACTCCTCACGAACAACACATTATAAGAATGAAAGTACAGTAAAGTAAAAACAAACAAGTTTAGACTTCCTTTCAAATATTTGACAGATTGTATTATTGCCACATCAAAGTCGCACGAAAGATATAATCATAGTCTATGTGAAGCGCCACAGGGATGAAGCCGGCTCTTCAATAAATCTGACACAAACCTGGTCACCATCCTTGATTCCATAATCTCTAAGGTAATCCGTTTCTGTAACTAATTTTCGTTCTTGATAGGATAAACAAAATTGCCGCCAAACAAGTGGCCTACATAAACAAATCAATAATAATTAAAAAAAAAAAAACTCAGGCAGAAGGTTATGACAATGAACTGATTAAATAAATAGAAACTGCAGAATTAAAAAAAAAAAAAATCAATTTCCCCTGTTTTACCTATAATCAAAACGTATAGAGTTTCCAAAATCAAATTAGTGAAATTACATATTCAGAACAGAAACATACATAATATAATCATTAAATTAATAAATTAATTAATACACACACCACAATATTTTGCCCTTCAGAGGCAAGTGAGCGAAAATCGCCTCCATAGCCTGCTTGAGTTCTGCAACAGTTGCTTCATTAGCAACTTCAACGCCTGCGAACAAAATCATATATAAATTCAATATCCAGGACCGTTTCACGAAAATAAATGGTAGAAAGAAAAAGAAATTGACGAGTTGCAAAAATGGGAGAAAGAGAAGCGAATTACTGAATGAAGAGGCGTCCAATTTGATGAGGAGGAGGTTGAGCGTTTCGCAAGGAGGCCTGTCGTAGGAAAAGTTGCCATCTACGTAGTTCATGCTGGGTGAGTGTCGATGGCTTCCATTGGAAACAATGATCAAGCTTCTCTCATCCATAACGGAGACTCGATTGTCAACCATTAATGCGTGGTGTTTATAGGAACAAGAGAGGGAGAAAGGTGAACCGAAACAAACCGCATTGTTATTGTGGAAATGGAGCTAGGGTTCCTGTGAAAGACATTGATTGTGGTGAATGGTTGTTGACGACTGTTTGCAACCGTTATTATGCGCGCGCATCTCTTGCTACTCTCTTCTTGCGCAGGGAAAAGAAACCATGTTGTTTTTTTACGTTTCTAAGTATAAACACATGCTGTAAAAATATTAGTTCATATAAAAAAAATAAGTTCAAAAAAATGAAGAAATAAAGTAAAAATCAAGAACATTAACACGCGTGTCAACTTATGTTTAAACGATAATATAGTAACCAAATTTTAATGATAAATTTATAATATATAAGGCTATTGATAATTATAGTAACCAAATTATTCATCATTTTTTTACACGAAAGTCTAATACTAGCTTTTATGGATGGTAGATGAAAATAAAAATAACTTAAATCTAATAATAATTCTATAATTTTTAACAAATTGTTTTTGTATGTTTAAAAGAGATTACATCTCATATATATATATATATATATATATATATATATATATATATATATATATATATATATATATATATATATATAAAGCAACTCACTTATTAAAAAAATAAGAATTAATTTAAATTTTATTTTAATAATTTTTAATTTCATAGTTTAAAATAATAATTCAACTTAACCATAAAATTTAAAAGTAATAAAATAAAAATAAATCTTTAATTTTTATTTTTAAAATAAATGAATAATTCATATAAATAATTCACTTACTTTTTTTATCTCCTATTTCATTTTTTTATAATATAATAATTTAATACAATAACTTATCTTAATAATTAGATTAAAGAAATTAATTTTGAGAATGAATAATATTCTCCAATTGTTATTATTGAAATAAGTGGAACCATTCTATATAAAATTGAGGTGTGTGTCGGATAAGATAAAAATTAAAAAATTCTAACATAGTTTGAAGGATTGATTAGTGAACAAGACAAAAAAAATCCTACAAAGTAAAAAAGTAGCTTAGTATCAATTATTGAAAAAGTATAAGTTTGAGTCTCCGAATGAATAGAATTGAAAAATTTTCATACTTTTAAGTTCAAATCATATTCTTTTATATATATTTTATTTTCATGAAATTTTTTAAGAATTTTGTAATGTTTAACAATTAGAATTTTTCAATTTATTTTTTTATATTCTAAATTTTCTGTTTGTATAAATTAATTTAAATTTAAATTTCTTAGTAAGGTAATTTAATTTATATTACATCCAAAAAACAAAATGTACATTTAAAAAAAAATGAAAGTTTAATAACAACTTTTTAATTTTAAATATTTAATTTTAGTGATTGAAAAGAGACAGACATTCTAAGAAAAAACACATAAATGTGAGGAAAAAAGCAGCAATGATTTAAAATTCTTACACTTTTGTGAAATTAAAATTCAATCCTTTAAATAACAAAGATACTTGTATATTTCTAAAATTTTTATTCCAAACAACTAATTCATTATTAAATATTATCTAAAATATTAATATATCCTAAAAATAAATCATATAATACAAAATTTTAATCATATTCAAATTAATGAATAAATTCCAGTTAATGTACCCATGCTTCAAACAAATTGAACTTTTTAAATATTGCTTCACAATTTCATTTTTCCATCCATCTCTCCTAGCCCTTTTATATATGTATTCTTTAAAATAAACTTACATTTAAGTTCTAAAAATAAATAAGATGGAAAAATATATTAGACACTAACCTTCAACTCATCTAAAATATAATATAATGGGTTAATAATTTTAACTCTTGAGTCCATTTTGATTGATTTATTTCATCTAACCTATCAAACATGGATTTGTTCCATCTAACCTTTAATTACAGAAGATGAAACGGATTAATCCATTTTAAAAATATATTATATATTAAAATAAAAATAAAAAATTATAATTTAAAATATTATATTTATTTGTGTTATATTATTAAAATATATAAATATATTGTAATATTATAATTAAAATTATAAATATTAATAAATTTAATTTAATTTAATTTATTAATTATAATTAATTATTTTAACGTATAAATATAATAGTTTTTTAATTTATCTAATAAAGATATTAATTAAAAATTAAAATTATTTATATAATTAAATAATTAAAGATATATTTAAAAAATATATATATATATATATATATATATATATAAAATTATTTTAAAAAAATAATAAGAGACCTGTCCGTCATAAACTGAAATCTATAATGCATTCATGTGCCACGTTTTACTAATTACCAATGCCTAAAAATAAAATATCAAACCCAAAAGCGGCATAAGAAAATATATCAACCACAAAACTGATTGGTGGCAGTAAAAGTTGAAGTGTGGCTACTTAAGACCCACTCTACTTGCAATGTCAGAAGTTTGTTTTATGAATATTGGAGACTCTCCTTTAAGAGAGAAATCCCTACAGTTGAGCAGGCAGTTGTCCTAATAGTTGAGATCCATTTTTTAATGGATAAGATTTACATAATCACCACTCTAGACCAAGGATTATTAATGACATCGTTTTAGAGGAAGAATTTTTTCATCAAGGATATAACTATGGGTAAATAATTATAGACTTATAGTTAAAAATAGTCTGGTTATAGCATAACTAGTCGTATACGTGTCTTTTAATTTTAACTATTCAAATAAAATTCAGTAGTTAGTATTCATTGATTTCACAACTAAGTTATTTTTCCTTAGAACCACAGCTCATATTTTGGGATGTTTTTCCTCTTAGTTATTCTGACTCTAAATAAAACAAATCATCATTTTCCATCACTGTTTTGAAAACTGATCTTTCTAACACTGATTTCAAAACCAGATTAGACCCAACGATTCAATTGATTGAATTGAAAACTAGATTAAAAATTGGTCGGTTACATATTTTAATTAAATTAGAACAAAATTAATAAAATTAGCTGAATTTTTAGATTGAACTAATTTTAATAACAAAAGCAATATTTAAGATAATTTTTTAATATAATTATTTTATAAAAGATATAATATAATATATTTATTTTTTTCTTTTTTTTATCTCATATTAGTTAATAAACTTTAAATAATCATTATTTTTATTATATTTTTATGTTATTGTAATAATTATTCATTTTAATTATTTTAATATATTTTATATTTATAACTTTTATAATATAATCATAATAATATATTTTTTAATTTTTATAAAAAATATTATTACTAATAAACTTATTATATATTTATTATACTATAAAAATATTATTTTATTAAATTTAGTTAAACTCTAATTAAATTTTTAAATCTGAGACCGATCCGATTTTAAAAACATTATTTTCTACTTACTTAATGATCCCATCAGAATAATGCATAGTTAAAAAAAAAATTTAAATAGAAATTATAAAATGAATCAATATACTGGTCTATCCTACCTCTGACCCACAACAAAAATAGGATAAAATAAACTAACCTCCTAACCCATTAATATTTATTTTTTATATAAATTTTTTTATACGTAATTTTAAAAATATATCATTAATTATATGCATAATTTTTTAATTTTTATTAAATAAATTAAAACAATTATTATATTTAGGTATTAAAATAATTAATTATTATTATTAATTTAAATTTATTTGATTAATTTTATATTTAAATTATAATATTATAATATATTTTAATAAAATAATATAAAAAATATTATATTATAATTATAATTTTGTATTTAATTTTAATATATAAATTTTTTTTAAAAGTCAAAACACAAAATAAAACTATGAACCCGTTACACTGCTTTAAACACGTGGGGCCTAGCTCGTTTACCATCTTATATGTGAATAACACAATTCACCCAGTGCACGTGTTTCAGCTACTATGGTAAGCAATTTTCCGTGATTCTTGCGTAGGTATTATTTTTAGTGTTGATAAAATAAAAATGAGATCCATGGGGCATAAAATTGGGATGACAAAGAGCAGTGGCATAAGTTCTCTTTGGTGATATAAAATATGATCCTATAACTTGACCTCAACCAACTTGCTCTCTCCCTTCATCACCCTTCTCCCTATATAATGAACAGACTCATGTAAAGTCCAGAAAGGGATATCTATATACTAAAATCGAACCTCAAAACTGTTAAGCTTACTGTTCCTTCCCTTAACTAATCTTCTTCAACCTCCCAAAAATAAAACGAATAAATACATGAAAACTCAAGAAATTTCTCTCCCCATCATGGCGAGAGGGGCTCAGTGGATTCATCAAATACACCAGGAGAACTCATTGCTAGACCAAAGGCTGGTAGACTATATACTAAAGCCATGAGATATGTATTAATATCAACTTTTAACTCGGCAAAATCTTCCAATAAATACTTATCGATGTAGTGAAGGTCAGATAACCGATGCAAACGATAGTCCCTAATCCATAAAGACATCAACTGCACAAACTAGAGAGTTATTTGTCCATGAGCTTATAGTAGGCATATAAACCAGAGCCCACAAAACCCAGAAGTTGTCCTACTACATTCCACTGCAACAAAAACACAACGCATTCTATTAACTGGAAAAAAATACTCTCCGATGATAAAAGTCAGTCGGGAAAAGAGCACTCACAAGATCAAATGGGAGCCCACCAAAAATTATCCAGCCAAAGCTAATAGTGAATAGATCCTAGACATTTATACAGAATAGTTAAAGTCCATGCACAATAATTGCATACAACCACCAATTAAGGCAATAATCTAAAACGAATGTGAGAAGGATTGTAGAAATGAGTTTACACAGCAATATGTGGAAGGGATATGTTAATAAAATTGAAATCAACATATTGTGGTAAATCTTAGGCAGAGTTTGGTAAACATATTCTATTTTTGGTGTATTTTAAAATAAGAAACAAAACACAATATTGTGTTGAGAATGTTATATTTTGGTTCTATAAAAAAGGGTGGAGTCAAAGATAAAATCCTACCTCAACATTAGGTCTTAATTAAAGGTTTCTAATGTCAATCAAAGATAATTATGCTTCATCAATCAGAAACAACTAGTCTGCACTAAAATACCAAGGTATACCAATTGTTCATTACTTCAGGGGTGAAATTTGACTATAACTTTAGACCAGAAAGATTATTTCCCAATAGAATAGATAATTTCACCTAATTTTTCCTCATCAAAAATGATTATAAGTGAAACTGCAGCTATATTTAAAAAAACTTAACTATTTTAAATTGATGAGGGTGAAATCTGTAGACTAAAGTAAACTTATAATATTTCTCTCTCTTAACATGTACCAATTTCCATAAGCAATTAGTAGTTCCTTATACTTGCTCTCTCTTTCACTCCACACCAAAATGTACAAGGAGATTTCCCCAATTTCCAGGTTTTAATAGGCAATAAATACACCAACGAACCCCTGTTTCTACCCCAATATTGGTCAAAATTTCAATTTACAGAAAATATCCACTCCACCGACGTAGTCCTTGCAAAAGTCAATGCAGTAATTAAATACTATGATAACACCATGAAATAGAAGCCTTATACATCATCAGTGCCAATCTGGAACAACAGGTACTTACATCACACATTTATGGCAAAACAACTAGCGAGTGGACAAACCTTTAGATTACCACATATTGTCTGTGTCAGAGCTGAATTGAGAGTTGTGTTCAGAAAAATACTGTAATTCAGGAAGAAAGCAAGAATACAGGAAAAAAGCAAAACAACCTGAAACCCAAAAACACATTAAAACTACAACTTGTCAAATATCAAAATTAAGAGGAGTCTGGATTTAAAACTTGATCCAGATTGCTATAAGCCATTCAACAGTTGTATCTCTATGAACAAACATTATGAACCTTTAAATTGCTGGAATCATAATACTTCTGTGTATGGAAGTCTGCTCCCATTAATGCAAAAAAAAAAAAAATAAATAAATAAATAAATTACAAGGAAGAGTAAGACACATGTGGAAGCACTGATAATTTCCATAATAGAAATATAATATACTTTATAACTAGTGTGAGACAGGATAGACCCAGTAAGATTAACATATATACTGTGAAAATTGAAGGTTGAAATTTATTTGTATTTTACTTCTAAGAATGATAAAAGTAAAAATCAAAATAAAACAACTGGATTACTAAATATGCTCATCAACTAAGTCTGAACAAAAACATTTAGTCTATGTTATATTATAGTATGATATACCCCCTGCCCATTAACAATTTTGTCACGTGATAAAAATGAGGCAAAATGCCCCAGTAGTTTGCTACATACTAACATCATAAATTCACATAAATTTGCTATCAGAATAGACATGTGGAGCACATGATAGAAATCAGGCTAGGCTCGCTGATTATTTGTATACAGCTTTAATAAAGTTGCTTTTTGGATGTATCTAGCTTAAGGGTTAAGGGGAAAATGCTAAAACCTTTTTCCTTTGACTGTGGATTAAACAATTCCTTCAACATTTGAAATTTTGTGAAGTTAAGCAAATGAAACTATTCTGTGATAATTATACAACCCTCTATATTATCTTCAATTCATGAGATAACCAATCACATTGAGATTGATTGTCCTTTCATGTTCTCCAAGGAACTTAGTACTGAATTTATTATAGCTCTAATGATGGGCTTGTGGACATTCTAACTAAGTCTTTAAAAGGATTTAGAATTCAATTTATATGTTTGAAACTTGGTGCATACAATTTATAAGTTCCAGCTAGAGGGGAGTGTTAAAATAGTTGTTTATTATTTGTTGTACAACTTTAAAAAAACTGCTTTTAAGATGTATCTAGCTTAAGGGTCAAGGGTCATTGGCCGTAGCCCTTTTCCTTTGATTGTACTTACTCTCACCTTTTTCATATATAGAGAGAATACATCAGCTAAGGCAACACTAATTTTTTCCGTTCTTTATATTCACGTGCACTTTTTCCTGTGTACTTTACTACATAAGCATATAACCCTCTTTCCACCAAAATGGGGCAAAAAATAGCTCAAGCTGGCAAAGTGCAGAAAAAGGAAGAGGAAATTTGATGATATGATTTATTCTAGTTAGATTCCTAAATCTTACTTAACTTTGAAGGATAGGAAAAAAAATATATTGTTAAGTAACTAAGGATCAATACTGATAATTAGTAAAAGGAGAAAGCCAAAGCATAACATACAACAAAACCAGGTGAAAGAAGGTATGGAAAATTGAGTGTCATCTTCAAGTCACCCCGTACTAATGTCCAAATAAGCAAAAAGGGCCCACAGATGATACCTTATCATAAAAGAAAAAATATTTCAAATCACACATAGATGAAAAAGAAAACAAGCATGGTTTCTTTTACCAGGAAAATAAAAGTTTGATAGGCCATTTTGTACAATCTATCAGCTTACCATTGCACCACATAAGGCCAAAGCTATTAAGGCCACTAGTTTTGCCTGAAAAGAAGACATAATGCAAAATAAATAAGAAACAGCACTCCAACTACAAGGACAAAGGGTATAGAATTTCCAGTTTGTGAATGAGAGAGGATAGGAATACAACCAACATGGGCTATGGTTGCAAGATATATAGCTGTGGCGATGTTGGACATGAAAACAATGGCATAGCCATAGGCATCAAAGGAGAAATCCCGTGCTCCCGCAATAAATGCACCAAAGACAATCAAGCCAACACTGATAACAACCTTACATATTTCAGTTAAATGAAAGAATCAGGGAGATGCTCATTCAAAAAACAATTTTCAACCTTACATATTTCAGTTATAATGGAAAGAGGGAGAGAAATAACTAAAAAAACAGAACCATTTTTTTTTTCTTTTGAGAAAGCACTCAGTTTAGCCCTCAAACAAAGGAGTCATTACAACACATTAGTACTCCAAAAGTTTGCCACCAATTAATCCTTCAGATTCTTTTTTCGTCATTGCTTTAGTTCTCAAGATTTTGTCACTAAATTAGTCTCTCAATGCCCCTCTCTTGCAGTGCACAAGCCTACTCTACCGTAGGCTAAAATTCAATTTTTATTATGACCCGGGGTAACAAAAATCCAAGTCCTAACCACTTGGTTGTAGAGATGTCAAGTTAAACTATTAGGCAAGACGCATGAATGGTTTTTATTATATTTATTGGACTATGGAACTTTTTCCACTCTACCTACATTATACATTTCACGTCCGTCACTAAAATTTCACATGCATTAAATCATCAAAGATTTATTTCAGCACAATATGGATCTCTAATTCTGTACGTCACATCATGCAATTGAAAATCTACCTGAAAATGACAGAAGATTTGTACCTCTGCCGCACCAGCTTAAATTCTACAAGCATTGTAAATACCACTGTGGTCCTCCTAAGGGTGGTGTACATTGGGACATTTACTCCACGAACAGACTCCATGGTGACTAACTTTTGAACAGGAGTGAATGAAAAAATCAAAAGAGAAAATAAATGACAATTGAAGATTTGTCCTACAAATAAAAATTAGGGCATACCATGTAAAGTAAATATGCTCCTGCCAGAGGAAGAGTGTGCTTCAAAGTCCTCAGTGGCACAAACTTTTTTGAGTTGTACACCATAATTACTGATTCGCCTGCTATGAAAGAAATCATCCTCCAGCGCCTCAATACATAAAGAAAACAACATGAACATACCATCTGCAGTGGTAAGAAGCATGACATTATGTTTAAAAATGTGAAAAGGATCTAATGAAGATCCAGGACGATTTGATTGGTATTCAAGTTGCTGTGCCAAAGTGCTCAACCAAGGCATAGATACCACACACTTTCCCATACACTTTATATTCAATATATCATTTATATTTCAAATGAGCGAAATGTAACTTTTGCCTGATTTCGTAAACTAACTTGGATAATCCTTAAGAACTTCAACCACTGTAAGGATTTTGTTTCATTGTAAGAAAACCTAAGTTTCAGTTGAGAAAGATGCTCAAAAGATAGTCATTTATAATTTGTGTTCTTGCTTTTAAGAACAGTGACGAACAAAGTTGCTTGGATTACAATTTCGAGCAAGTGATGCCAGAAATTCTTAATACAACAAAGTAGTTGCATGCCTAGGCTTGTCTCGTTAGAATCATGTGAATAACATGAAACGAAACAACCTACTTGAATACCAAATAAATTTAGAGAGACCATTCATTATTTAAAGGGTAAATCAAATTGTTTGTCACAAAAAAAATGTAAGCGTTGTCACACAGGTTTTAAAAAGCAAGAAAAATCCACATAAATCCTTGAAACTAGTACTTGTTCATCTAACTTCTTAAATTCAACTAGTTACTCTCATTTTGGTCTTCAAACATAGTTATTATTATCACTTCAAATCACAAGTTGCATGAAGCAGGGATTGATTGATTGCAGTTCCAAGGACTTTCTTTCAATTTTCTCAGTACCCAACACTTTCAGGACCAAACACATCAAACATATCATGATCCTGATCATAGTCTAATTCCAATCATTTGATTTTAACCTTGGCAAACAAAGGAGTCTCATCAGACACTTTCATCCTCCAACATTTTAATCCAGTTCATAGTTTTTTATTGTTCAGAGTGCATAACTATAGTTTTCATCCAATTAAAAATAATAATGATGTAGATCAACCTGAAGAAGCGTGACGACACTCGCAGATGGGAAGTGATATGAGGAAAGAGCAGCTTTATTGAACAGCACCAAGAGCACTACAAGACAAAAAGAACTGAGTAATTAATTAACAAGTAATTAATCAAAGCCTAAACGCAATGAATTGTGCTCATACTTTTGCAATTAGTTAATAATTGTTAGAGAAAAAATATATATAAAATGCACCAACAATTGAATGATAAGAGTGAGTAGAACCTGCACATGACATGTAAGAGATGGCAGCGTAAATCCTACGTCCTCGTATAGATTTATTATCGCTCTTCAAAAGCCTCTCTCGGTCTTCGTCGTTGGGAGGATCCGATACCGGAAGCATCAGATTCTCCGCCGAATAGGACGGTTTCAAAGACATTCCGCAATTCTCAAACCCCGAGTTTCGCGATTTAGAACCACCACTCGAATTTGAATCAGTTCCTCCACTTCTTTTCTGAAGCTGCCGAAATCCACCGATGTCTCCTTCCTCCGATTCAGATCCTTAACAAATTCAGGTAAAAAAAAAAATCAGAAATTACTTTTTAATTATTATATTTTATATACTTTTACATTTAGGAAAAATAACAAAAAACAAAAAATGATAGAACCGTGAAATGAAAACAGAGAAAAAAAGCATTAAACAAAAAATCTGTAGAGGAATGTCTATACTATTTTAAATATTTTTATCTTTAATTTAAATTACTATCCTATTTTATTTAATTTATAATTTTAATTATAATTTTTAAACAAGCCATGTCTTTTACTGTACACTTACTTAATCTCTAACTACCTTTTATTCCTGAGAATTTCACTTCTCTTAAATTTCACCTGCAATGTTAATAATAGGAGAACTATAAAATAATGCATATTTTGTAGCAGTTTAGTTGGACAAGAAGTGAAAGGAAGATCAGAAATGTTTTAAGGTTGTTTCCCCTAAAAATAAAGTCGGTCTGGAAGGTTATGAGAAATTAAACAAGGTAATCATAATTTTCACATAAGTATAATAATTATGGTCTACGATTAAGAATTTGATTTAACGTTACCATAGGCAATGTTCCTTACAACTTGATAAGCAGAGAATTTTTCAAGTTATGCCTTGACTTATTATGCTTTCACATTATCAATTAAATTCAACTGGTTAAACATCTATTTGAGTAGTTGACCGCATATCTAATATGCAATATGATGAGTTTGAAAGGTAATTGCCAAGATATTTTTTTTATTAATTTATAACTTAGTAAACTTCTTAAACATATTTGTAGAGTAAAAAATTATTACTACAACAAAATTTTATTTTCAACTATTGTCATTTAATTACAATAGACAAACATCAATTCTATAGATATACTCTTACTATGATTTAGATATTTTAAAACTATTATAATGAATAGAATAGTTAAAAATCAAATGAAGTACAGCGTCTACATTGTCTTTTGATTACATATCTGATATAATACTACTGATAATATTATAATATACAATTCCTTAAAAAAAATTACTAAAGTCTATATAAAAATATGTTTGTAATAGAAATTTTTCATTTAATATTTTTATTATATATTTATTTATTTATCATTTTCTTATTCATGTAGTTATTTAAACATCCACGTATCTTTACAAATAAAATTTTATTTTGTTATTATTCATATTTTATCGGGTGCTAAGCTCATTTTAAATTATTATTCACAACTTCACTTATAGAAATAAAAAAGTACACTTCATTAATCGTTCAATAAAATACATTATTTTTTCTATAAAAATATTTAGCTCCTACTATAAAATTATGATTAAAAAAAAACAAGTTTATGATTTTGACAAAAATTAAAATATAGTAACTTAATCAATGAGCAACATGGACCCCTGATCCATTCTCAACCATCTCAAAGTTCATATAACATGTGAATAACAACATGGTCATAAGACTTGTTAACTTTGCAATAAGATATTACTCCATATGTTTATTAACATGTTAAGATTTGTCTATAAAAAATCATTAATTTTTATGATTTATACTAAATTTGTTAATTTGTTTAATAAAACTCTTAGCATTTTGACTTGTAATAATTTATTAATTTTCTCATTCTATTTAATATGAGTTATCTTATTAATTATATCTCATATATAAATTCTTATTGTAATAAAATGATGTTGAATATAATTTAGTTGTGAGTTTTTATTTCTTAAATCTCATTAATAATATTTTTGAATAACTGCATTTAATATATTTAAATATAAATTTTGTTTTATATAATTATTATAAAAAAAATATTAGCGTATATGATTTAAAAAAATAGATATATAATTTTTAAATTACAACTAACTAAAAACATTCAATCAAAATTACGTTATCAAAATATATGAGTAGAAAAAAATTGTGAACATCTTAAAATATGTTTGTTTTGTTTCATGCCAGGTGTTCATGTGATTATTAATAATCCATGCTTCACATATTAAAGATAATGGAAGACATTAATAACTTACATAGCTAAGGTTATTCACATGATTTCAATGATGCAGGTTAAGCATTATTAGTCTTGAACCAGTTATGAGTTTATTAACTTAGACACAAACAATAAGCAATTGAAACGTGTAAGACCAAAGTTTCCTTATCCTTTAATCCAAGGCAGCGTTTGGCACGAGAAGCTTTGGTTGGGAACCGTAAAAAACATAGTGATAGTGCGTTGATGCATATCGCTTCCTTGAAGTGGGCCATCGAATAAAATTGAGAACAGAACCTTGCCACGCTTTGTTTTTCATACCTTTCCGCCATCAAGATTCGAGAGGGACATCGTATCCATCAGTTTACATTTTTACTAACGTTAAAGAATAAATTAATTATTAAAAAAAATCAAGAATTGAAGATTACTTAAGTTTAACTTTGGGTCAACAGAAATTATCCTGGTTTCAAGTAAAAGACTAATTTATTGTGATATGAAATTAAACCAAGCTCTATTCCAATACTCGATAAATTGTTAATAATAAACGTCTCATTGAGTTGAAATAATAAGCTAGATTATGGATTATAATGAGATTTTTTTACAAAACCTGATTACAAGGTAAAGATTAATGTAACTTGTAGGAAATAATTATGTTACCCTCAAAAGGAATGTTGAGCATAGACAAAGGTGCCACTTGTCAAGAGTGATGCTTAACCAAGAGTTGGATGTGGTGAGTTGTAGGATGTGGGAGCAGTAATCAATGCCAGGTAAAGGGCAAGCAATGAGTTAGACTTATCATATTTTTGGGGTCCTACTAGTTCAGTTTGCAACCTTCATCGCACGAGAACTAGATAGAACCGGTTCCAGTGGTCGTGCGGGGTTCAGTGAATACCATAATCTCCCATTTTCCCTGCACCATCACGTGGCCTTCACAAGGTCTACTACACCTTCCCAATCTCTGGACCAGCACTCCATTTTCCTCTATTCCTAACCATACACTACCATTCTGGACCATATACTATATTTCTCCACCACTACTTTCACATATACATTGGACTAGAATCAGTAGTGTGGAATAAAAAATAAAACCCAGTTGCTTAATCTTTAAGAGGAACATGTTACAAGGTAGCTAGGGGGATTAATTAATCAACCAATTAATTGAAAATGTTATTATAATCAAATAATCAACCAAGGTGAAGCGAATATTTCCTAGCTAAGTGCATCAGTGGAAACAAGGAAGTTGTGTAAGTTCTAAAATCATGATACGTTTGACGGGCATCAGCCGACACATTGGACATATTAGCAAACAATATCAGCAGGTGCATGAACGGCTAGTTTCTTTGTTCTTTTTTTAACATGTTTTTGTTTGGAAGCTAGCTCTTTCGTGATCAACTAGCTTAAACTAATCGTATTTTGTTTGCTACATGGTCAAGCTGGGTATTTATGATAATCGGCTCGAGAGATACAAGTTCAACATGATTGATCAGAATCAGAAGCACCTCTGGTGACGACACAAAATTTGACACACGATGTTTGGCCATAAAGAGATTCCATTAGAAAAGGAAAAAGAAAAAAAGTAGATGACCAATCGTATCATAAACAAATAAAAGTTGTTCCGCTTGATAAATAACATAACATTATATCGCATTATATTATATATAATACATCTATTCTGCATATTGTTTCTGCTTATCTGTCCGTGTCTCATTTATCTTGAAATGAATCCACATATTATTTCCAAGATTAGATTCTTCCCGCAGTTGATGAAGCCTAATCCGTAGTCTTTTCAGAATGATCATCTTCTCCAAATTATGGTGTTAATGAATGTGACAGTTCCCTAAAACACTATAATACATGACTGTTATTATTATTATAGTAAGTATAAATAAACCAAGGCAATGAAAAATCTAGAGAAAGAATATATGTGTAGGTGGGGACACATGGCAGGAAAATTGAGACAACTAAAAGAAAGCGAGTAAAGTGGCTGTGGCACGTTGGTGCTCTCATTCCTCAACTAGCTTATGATGCTGCTTCTCTTTTAGCCGACCCAACTTCCATGCTGTCTCTAACTATCCTTGTTCCACAAGACAATAGTCCTTTTCATTCCTATGCCTCACTCACACATTCACACACACACACACACACACACATATATATATATATATATACTTATTACAAGTCTATATATATATACTTATTACAAGTCCCAAAGGTCAAATAATCCCAATAACTTTTGAGAAAGCTAGTGATCTATATCTAACTTTGAAAATAGCCCCATATATACATGTTCTAGTTTGCCTATTGCATATCCTAGTTAGCTTTCTTGATTATACTACACATACATGGAACTTCAGTTAGGTCTTGCTCTCCCCACTCACAACTCCGATGAGGAATTCAAGCTTACCAAGTCCAAACAGATAGTGAGTTTAGAGTTATGGAGACCCAGTTGCGGTTCTGAAAGAGGAAAGCAAGTCAAACACAAGCGCAGCTTCGAAGAGTCCTTTGAAAGTTTTTTGAAACCTTTGCCTTTACTAGTATGGAGTGGACAGCCAAATGAAGAAGATGATCGTATTCAAAAGGTGCAAAGAAACATTCACGCACCAAACAGGTAAGTTCCACTTCTATTTCCATGTTGCTTACGTATCCTTCCAAAAAGTATCTTGTAAATTTTAATTCACATATCAAATAATTATCGGAGAGACACAAAATGAAGACGATAACTTTAATATCCTATATCTCTTAAGTAAAAAGACAACACTTACAGTCATATAAATATATATTTAATGATGTTCTTCGATCAAAATTGGACTAATTTGAACTTCGATAAAATCTTTTATTATATGTAAAACTTCAATTATATATGGTAAGAGAGTAGTAATAAAAAATACTTATGAAACTGCACTATGTTTTGTTCTTAGTAAAGTACACAAAAATTTCAGAAAGGAGAAGCTATATCTTACTTTAATTACTTTATGATATACATACAGGAACGGTGATGAAGAAAAACATTTGGTGGGATGGCCACCAGTTAAATCATGGAGGAGGAAAGAACTTCATCACCATCATCCTGCAACAGGCCAAATCAGAAACGACAGGATTCGCGCTAATGAGAACCGAAGTAGAGAATCAAACTCTTTATATGTCAAAGTTAACATGGAAGGGGTAGCCATTGGAAGGAAAATCAATTTGAGGCTTTTCAACTCGTATCAGACACTTACAAACACCTTGACGAACATGTTTGCCAAGTGTAAGTGAATAGTTCTGCATATTTTTTCTTATTGTTTTGAGATGTGTATTGTGGATTGGTTTTTGACCTTTCTATACATTTTATATTTGCGCAGACCAAAAATTGGAGGAAACCAGAGAAAGTTACACACTCACCTTTCAAGACGAGCAAGGGAATTGGCTGCAAGTAGGACATGTTCCATGGCAGTAAGTGCATATATTTTATATATACATTGATTGCATACTTTCATTGACTACTTTATGCCATGGTAAACTTAAGGACAAATAATTATTTGGATGACAAAAAGTGAGAGTTTAGGTATATTATGATTAAATGTTAAGGTACCTAAAGAATAACATTTTCTTGATTTGCAGATCCTTTATTGATACGGTGCGGCATTTGGTGATACTGAAGAATGGAAGTGAAACTGTTTGACACAGTTAATAATTTTGCTACGATGTTGTTTATGGTGCTCGGTTCGGGAAAGAAGTATTTGCATTGAATAGGTTGTAGAGAGCAAAAGCTCAGTATGAAAAGTCGGATTACAAATAAGCTTCAGTTTTTATTCATTAATAATAATTTTGTATTGTTTTAATCATAAGTAACCTGGATCGAACTTTCAAATTTCAACATTTGTCAAATAATCGTTTCTATTTGTAGAATATGACACAAATATATCGAAATTTACCCATGAATCGTGAATTGAGAGAAATGGTTTAATATTAACACTTGTACTTTTTAACTAGTTGCAATGCAACTTATAGCTATAATTCAGTAACTGGTGGGGGCTTATAAGGTACATGAAGAAAGCATGAACTAGTCAAAGTCTTACTTTGACCTTTGCCCTAATTGTAATATTATAGTCACTGGTTAATTATTTATTTCAACCATGTTATTTACATATCAAAATCGCAGTCGTCCTTGATCCTCTCTATGTGTTTGATTTATCTTTTGTAAGTTTCTAAAAGGATATCCACACATGTCAATATAAAAATTGAAAGGATAACTCGTTTGTCTTGTTAGAGTAAACTTAGCTTATGATAAAAGTAACTTTTTTATGAACACTCTAACAAGTCCAACTTTCTCATCACAACTTAAAGGAGTTGACTGTGTATATATGTTAATAAATCAAACAATGTGTATCAAGGACCAAAACCTATCTCACCCTGAACTGTTGAATTAGAAGAATGAGTTGGCAAGGGTAAAATTCCTAGTATAATTTAGTCCATAATATTCTAATGTCATCCGAAATACGAACTTTCCTAAAAGCTCATAACCTCGGGTAAAACAACTTTTATTATGATCGTATTCATGTCTATGGCTTATTTCTACAAAAAGAAGTACGAATTTTTTCTTTCTTTTTTTTAGTCTGGTTTTTCTTATGGGGTTTTGCCAGACTGATGATAGCCTTAATCACCTAAAATTTAGTTACAATAAATTCTTCTTAGTTCCCCTATTAGTTCCCCTCTAACTTGTGAGGAAGTTAAGGATGATAAAATAGGTTTATCTATCTTATTTTGACTCGTCTTGTCTTTTGTCCATAACAATAAAATAGGACAGACTGATGTATTATAGTTATGATAGAATGTAGACCTTAATCCGTCTTGTTAGAGACATAGACTACCAGTCATAATTAAAAATATATATTTTTTAAAATTAAAATTTTTAATAAATTTAACAATAAAGTTATCATTTGTTTGTCAATAATTCAATATATATATATATATATATTTGAAGATAATAATATAAATCAACACATTATTTTAAGAAATTATAATTTAGAATAATAATACATAATAACAAATATATATAAATAACGATAAAACTTGAAAATTTTATATTTTTTATATTAAAAAATTTAAATATTAATATCTTTTTTATTTGATAAATTTTACATTGTTTTTCCCTTAATTAAGTAATTCTTAGTTCTTTAATAAGTCATATAAATAATAATAATAATAATAATAATAATAATCAGGATAAATAATTAAGAATGAAATTTTTTTAATTCTTTTTTTAATAATTTTTAACTTTATATTAATTATATTACAATACAAAAATTATTTTTTCTTATTAATTAAACATATTGATTAGTTTGACTGGGTGAGTAAGGCTAACAAATTGAAAATACCAATCCACCACCTATATTATAATGGACAAACTTCATTCACATTAATTGACCCTAACAATCTTGATAAAAAAATGTTCGAAAGAACGCATGCAATGCATAAAGATAAGAACGTGTAAATCACTAATTGTCAAAAAGATAAAATTCATTTTTGTGTTATATTAGGGGATACTTAGGAAATTAAATCAATAAACTAAAGGTTATTATTAAAAATCATGAGTGACATTAATAACATTTAGGTTACGTTTGCCTATAAATGTTTCACTCATCAGCAGACTGAATTACAATGTACATATCACCATCTACGTAGTCTGAAACTGAAATAATTTGAGTAGTGTATAATCATACATGATATCAAAATGAAACTTCCACTGTCCATTATAATTGAGAAATTTCATTGATATAAGGAATTGATTCTCATAGTTATTTAAATTGTTGACCCAATTATAGTTTATTACATTTTTACAATACTATTACAAAAAAGGTCTTTTACGTCACTCAATTTTCGTTGCATCTAAAAATATCTTACATAAAAAAGATACGGTGACAATTTTGTAAATATGAGACAAGACTTTTACGTTGCACTTAAAAATAGGTGTCATAAAAGACCCATTTTACGTCATACCAATAGAGATACGACGTAAAGAGGGTCTTTTATGTCATATCCTTTTGAGTGCGACGTAAAAACTGATCCAATTTTTACGTTGCACCCAAAAGGATGTGATGTAAAAGAGGTCTTTTACGTCGGCTCCTTTTAGGTGCAACATAAAAATTGGTCTTTTACGCCACTCCCTCATCTCGCGCAGTAAGGATTTTTTAGAATAACGACGACAACGACTCTTTCCACATCATTTTCGACCATTTTGACTGTGAAAAACATCAACATTATGTCTCATTTTCCGAATTTGACTTTTTTCCCATATTGGATTCGAGTTTTAAATTGTTTTCGTGTATACTCGAGGTTAATATTATATGTCTTATGTTATATGTTCAAATTGAATTCATGATTATTTTTGGGGATCTCAATCACATTATTACATGAATATTTCCACTGGATTGAGATTATTTGTTTATGCGTTTAAATCCTACTTTTTCATTGTTGTAATTTGTATATTACAAGTACAAAAATACAGTATATTGGGGGTTTAGGTTTAAGGTTTTATGATAAAGAAAATGGAAAATATTCGAAATAAGATAACTTTTGACTAAGATGTCAGATTTGAACGCATAACATATCAAAATGTAGAGAAAAATGCGAAGAAGAGGACACAAATCTCAAAGGGGATTTGTCCCAACAGTTTTTCTAAAATATGCTCCTAAGCACATGTAATACATAAAAGTTTGTATGGGTATAAATAATTCTTCGACAGAGGTAATTACTTTCAACATTTGTTAAGTTTATTTACTTTTGTGTGTATTGCATATTAACACAAGTCAAATTGATATTCCAGGTATTTGAATGTGGTTACTATGTCATGTATTGAATGAGAACCATAGTTTGTGCGAATATAACTGATTATTGGACGGAGGTAATTGCTTTCAATATTAGTTAAGTTTATTTAGCTTTATGTGTGTTACGTGTTTACAATAGTCAAATTAATCTTTCAAGTATTTTAAGATCTATCTTCATTTCCAGAACATGATATCACACAAATTAGAGAACAATGCGCAAGGTTTTGCGTTCAACAATTCTAGTACTTAATTTGTAGGTTATTGTTGGTATTATATTGTGTGTATTATGTAGTTTAGGTAGTTTAGTTTATACTAACTTTTAGTTTGTAATAACTTTTAGTTTGTAATAGTTTTTAGTTTATAGGTTATTGCTTGTATTATCTTATTTTATTATGTAGTTTAGGTAGCCTAGTTTTTGTGCTAGCATGATGTATTAATTTAATTTTTGTAGTTTGAATGATATATAAAATTATATTTTTTATTTACTAGCTAAAAGAACTTGAACCTACTGAACTTGTTTGATTATGATATATATTTGCAAGTTTTGATTGTAAGACAAAATAAATTTAATATTAAAAAAAATGATGAAATTTACATCGCACATACACATATGCGACATAAATTTTCATCGCGCATGTGTATGTACAACATAAATTTACGTCGCATATTTATATATGCGACGTAAATTTACGTTACACACACATATATATATATATATATATATATATATATATATATATATATATATGCGACGTAAATTTAGGTCGCATATGTGAATGTGTGACATAAATTTCGTCCAATTTTTTTAATTTTTGAAATTTTTTAAATTTTTGAAATTTTTTACATATATTGAGTGATATACGTAACGTAGTGAAATTTTTTAAATTTTTGTAACTTTTTAAAATTTTAAATTAATTAACGTCGGGTTTCGATAATTAACATGTAAATTTATATATCCTATTTTAATGTTAGTCTTAAAAATAAAGTAAAAATTCCAAAATAACTTACCTAAAAAATCTATTATGCAACTAAACAATCAATAATTTATAATTCTTTCTTATCTTTCTAAAATTTCTTAATCCCAGTACTCTATCATGCTTCTTGACAAACTGAAACTTTTTATTGGTTCAATTAGAAAGCTAATAGATGAAAAAAAAGAAAATAACAATAATAATAATATGAATTAGTTAACATGCAACTAAACAATCAATAATTTATAATTCTTTCTTATCTTTCTAAAATTTCTTAATCCCAGTACTCTATCATGCTTCTTGACAAACTGAAACTTTTTATTGGTTCAATTAGAAAGCTAATAGATGAAAAAAAGAAAATAACAATAATAATAATATGAATTAGTTAACATGCTGACTTCTTGGTCAAGTGTTGAATAATGTTGATTTACTTTATGACCGCAAAGAAAAACAGGTACAATTTGAAATTCTTTTGATGATGTGTTTATGTTCTAGTAATTTCCGTAGTTTAGGTTGATATATGAAAACTGGTTCATTTCAATTTGTTGCATTAAAATAAAAACTTGAAAAATACTGTTAATAAAAACGATCACGGTGGGACTCGAACCCACAATCTCCCGCTCCGGAGGCGAGCGCCTTATCCATTAGGCCACGCGACCATTTGACAAGACATCCTTAGACAAAATAATATTTATATTAAATAATGTAGAGGCACTACTTTCATTCGAAAACAACGTCTACTAGTTCAAATGTAAGCTGTGGTTCTTCATTGACCAGCGACCTACCTTGGCAACTGATTACATTAAGACTTTACATTTTGTTGAAAATAAAATGGTCAACATTTATTTATGCACCAAAGGGGTTAAGATGTTAATGTTAAAAGTTATTTTCAAATTATAGGCAAGTAAATAGATATAATATTTGTTTAAAGGCTTATTATAATAAAAAATTATTTTTTAAACAGTTTATAATTAAAGCAAAATTTTAAGGTCACACTTTTAAAATATTAATCAAAATCAGTTAAACATAAATTAATCATACAAATTAAAAAAAATAATAAAAAAAAATTAATAGAATCCTTGAATCTTGTGAGGTTTGGAAGGTTTGGTTGATACTTTCCACTTTCTACCCTTGACACACATTGATCTACTACGGATACGAAGCAGTTGTTGGAAAAAGAACCCAAATTCAAAAGTCCAGATTTTAATATGTATAGTTGAATCAATGTTAACTCCAACTACCAAATTAATCGTTTAAAGAGTCAAAATAGAATTCAGAGTATGAGTTGGATTGGTTATTCAACAGCTAATTAATTAACCATTCAGAATCAAGTGTTGTTGACCTAGATGCACTTCTTCTAACGAGCTGTTTATCGCTCGTTTTTTAGCTGGCAACTGAACGGTGCTACCTGTATTCTTTAAAATATTTATAACTTTAAGATTTTGTACAAAACATCTAAACATTATCATTTTAATGAATATGTTGCATTTGTACAAATTAGTCTTTAGCTTTTTATTTTAGTTTACCTAAAACAATGTCCAACGCAATATTTTTTTATGGGTAAGTATAGTATAATGTTTTAACTATATGAATTAAAACGAAAAGTAACCTTACATGTAGAGATTAGTGTTTTAAATCATTCTTCTAAAAACACTACACGAAGTGCCAAACAAATTAGCGGTGTACAAAAAAAAACATACTTAAATTTATCTAATAATTGGTTTTCTTGGATCTGTTTAAACATGGCAATGGAGTGAAGTAAAATGAGTTTCTCTCTCCTCATCTTCATCCCCTGTTAATTGATAAATTATTTTCTTATCTTATACAAAATACTTTTTATATAATTCTCATTGAGATATTAAGGTGATTCCATGTTGTTACTTTTAGACAAAATATCTTGATATGTTTTTTTTTTGTATAATTTATTATTGTGATTTTAATGTCTCAAAAAGTATTGTATTATTAATTAAATGACATTTGTTTGATTAGCAATTGATTTAAGTATTAAATTTTATATTTATTAACTTTTAATCCAATAATTAAATGTTCTATTAACTTAACTTTATTGTCGAATAAACTTATTACATGACTGAAATTTAATTTCAAGATAATTAATTTGTTACATGACCTTATCAATATTTAAATTCAAACATCACATTTCTTAGGAAGATAAGATTCAATATATTTTGTTTATATCATTTGTTTCTTTCTCATTTTATTATGCCTTATCTTTATAAACTACTCCTATAAAAAATAAAGAAAAACATTTGTATCCAGTTATTTAATCAAATTTGAAAAAAAAAACGTAAATATGTGTGACTCAACCTTATTTGTGCCCAGTTATTTAATCAAATTTGGAAAAAATTATAACATACATGTGTGGGTCTGTGATTTTATCTAGTAGTGTTTCTTGAGTATGGAAGGATGTGGTTAAAAAAGTTAAAAATTAATTGTCATATTAGGAGTTAATTGTCTTATTATATGCAAGTGGCAAAGATCCAAACTTAATATAAATTAATTAACCCCTAATTTAAATTTAAGGCATGATTATTATTTATGAGTTAAATTTTGATAATTACAAACCAGGTTTTAAGATTTGACCTATGATCCAGAACAGTCGAACCAGACAATTCCATGTAACCCGTCAAAGAACCATTTGCATAAAATGAATTAAAGATTATAGAGACTAATATGATTATTTAACTAAAAAGAGGCAATGAAAATGAAGGCAGCATAAAGAAAATGAAAATAGGAAAGGGAGCACAACGAAAGGCCAATAAGGAAGGAGTAGAATAAGAAGATGATAAACAAGGAAGGAAGTGGAAAGTAACGAAAGAAAAGGCAAAGAAACACAGGCGAGAAACGCCCACATTCGTTGCTTTCCATGAATCCAAGGCATTTCAGATTTTAACATCCCACCGACGCTTTCCAGGTTCTACTTCCAAGTCCACCCCTGGATTTAGATCACAGGTTTCTCTGTACTTCAGGGAGTGGGACCCACCCATCACCGCATATCCGGCTCCACGTGTCCACATCGCAACAGCCGAGATCACAAACCAAATCGCTATCACAAAGGAGAAAACCCGTCCACGTCACCGTAACCCGTACGCGTTGTATTGTACTAAAGTGAACCCGCGGCACACCGAATCCCCACCCTCCCTTCCGACACAGAGAGTTTCGGTAGGCGGTAGCTATTAGTAATACAAATTACAACAGCAACTTTTTCTATTTCCCCTCTCTCATCGCAGATCTGAGAGTCTCGCAGATCACAGGGTTCCACAGGGTTCACGCATTTTGACCCTTATATTCTCCACTGGCTATTCCCCCGAACACCACGCTCCAATAATCTAGCTCCAAATCCCTCCAATCGGACCCTCCCTACACAATTTCACGCGGATCTAGGAGCGCAGGTAAGTCCCCAGGATTTATCAATTCAATTTGAACGGTTTTCTTGTTTTGGAAAATTTGTTGATTAATTCAGCAAGGGTGTAGTGTGTGAGTAAGGTTGGGGTTTGCTATGGCTCCGACAACGATCCGGAAGGCGATTGGGGTGGTGAAGGACCAGACCAGCATAGGGATTGCCAAGGTCGCCAGCAACATGGCGCCGGAGATGGAGGTCGCGATTGTGAAGGCCACCAGCCACGACGACGACCCTGCCAGTGAGAAGTACGTCAGGGAGATTTTGAATCTCATGTCGCACTCGCGCGGCTACGTCCACGCCTGCGTCTCCGCGGTGTCCAAGCGTTTGGGGAAGACGCGCGACTGGATTGTGGCGCTCAAGGCGCTCATGCTCGTGCACAGGCTCATGAACGAGGGTCCCTCGCTGTTCCAGGAGGAGATCCTGTACGCCACCCGTAGGGGAACACGGCTCCTCAATATGTCTGATTTCAGAGACGAAGCTCACTCTAGCTCCTGGGATCACTCCGCTTTTGTCAGGACCTATGCTATGTATCTCGACCAGAGGCTTGAGTTGATGCTGTTTGATAGAAAAAGCACCGCCGCCGGTGCCGATGGTGGCAGTGTTGGTGCTAGCGGTGCTGATGATAGGTTTGGTGGAAGGGACAATTTCCGGTCGCCGCCTTATGAGTACGGTGGGGGGGAATTTAGAGGGGAAGGTAGTTATGGGAATGGGATGAGGAGGACGAGGTCTTTTGGGGACATGAGTGAATCGGTGGGAAGGGGGGATGAGAAGAGGGTTGTGAGTGTGACTCCTTTGAGGGATATGACTCCGGAGAGGGTTTTCGGGAAGATGGGTCATTTGCAGAGGTTGTTGGATCGGTTTTTGGCTTGTAGACCTACTGGGTTGGCGAAGAACAGTAGGATGGTTTTGATTGCTTTGTATCCGGTGGTTAAGGAGAGTTTTCAGTTGTATGCTGATATATGTGAGGTTTTGGCTGTGTTGCTTGATAAGTTCTTTGATATGGAGTACGCTGATTGCGTGAAGGCTTTTGATGCCTATGCCAGTGCGGCTAAGCAGATTGATGAGCTTGTTGCTTTTTACAATTGGTGTAAGAATACTGGTGTGGCAAGGTCCTCGGAGTACCCTGAGGTTCAGAGGATTACCAGCAAGTTGCTTGAGACGTTGGAGGAGTTTGTAAGGGATAGAGCCAAGAGGCCGAAGAGTCCGGAGAGAAAAGAGGAGGCTCCGCCTGTAGAGAAGGTAGAGGAGGAGCCAGCACCGGATATGAATGAAATCAAGGCACTGCCTCCACCAGAGAATTATACCCCTCCTCCTCCACCTGAGCCGGAGCCTCAGCCTAAGCCGCAGGTTACAGAGGATTTAGTTAATCTAAGAGACGATGCAGGCACTGCAGATGACCAGGGGAATAAATTGGCTTTGGCACTGTTTGCTGGTGCGCCTGCTAATAATGCTAATGGATCATGGGAAGCATTCCCTTCAAATGGACAACCAGAAGTAACTTCAGCCTGGCAAACCCCGGCTGCAGAGCCTGGGAAAGCTGATTGGGAATTGGCATTGGTAGAGACTGCTAGCAATTTGTCGAAGCAGAAGGCAGCTTTAGGTGGTGGGTTAGATCCTCTGTTGTTGACTGGCATGTATGACCAAGGAATGGTCAGGCAGCATGTCAGCACTACCCAACTGAGTGGAGGAAGTGCTAGCAGTGTGGCGTTGCCAGGACCGGGAAAGACTACAACCCCTGTTTTGGCTCTCCCGGCCCCAGATGGATCTGTTCAGCCAGTTAATCAGGATCCATTTGCTGCATCATTGAGCATTCCACCCCCATCCTATGTGCAAATGGCCGATATGGAGAAGAAGCAGCATTTGCTCGTGCAGGAGCAGCAGGTGTGGCATCAGTATGCTAGGGATGGGATGCAAGGCCAATCTAGTTTGGCCAAACTTAGTGGCACTGGATACTATGGCGGAGGTCCTATGCCCATGATGCCTTATGGAATGCCCCCAGTCAATGGAATGGGACCTCCAGCCGGGTACTATCACACTCCTTACTGATATCCCTTTCCCTTTTTTGTGTCACATATCTATAGGTTGTTTCGTTTATTTTTTACTATGACATAGTGTTTTCCTTTGTTTCAAATGTTGTCATCTTATTCTTGAGATCTGCACATTAGTACTACGGGGATGCTAAGGGGACTGAGTTGAAGAGACAAATTCTTGTTGGTTTTGATGCCTGGGAGATGTGTAACTCATTTGTGATATCTCTCTCTGTATTTTGTAATAGTAATTAGCATTTTCTTCTCGATTTTGTACTTCAAGTGATTCTTGCTCCTTAAAACAAACAATTAACTACTGTAAATTTTGATTAAAGCTGGTGCTGATGATCTTGATTGGTTATACCAAATGATATTTCCATGTTGTGGGAACTGCCTATTCGTAAACTTACTGGGAAGTAGTTCCTTTAGGGTGGAGTTACATATGTTAGGAAGTTCCTGGGTTTGATATATTAGGTAGTAGATTTTCAAACTCTGGTCATTTTTTGTTTTCTTCTTACGTTTGGTCACCGAATTTAACTACATCATCATTAATATTTCCCGTGTACCATAATTAGATGTCTAGTAACATCGGTTCTTTGCAGCATTAATAATATGGTTGTCCCATACTCTTCAGTTCCTATCATTCACAGATATTCAGTTTGAATTTTGAATTTTTTTTATCAATCTTTTGTTGAAAATTGTCAAATGGTGAGCGAAGACAGGTAAACCGTCTGTCACTGTAAGCTGTAGGTGATACCAGTAATTGTTTCTCTGAAGCTTTGCGGTTGGGTTTGTTAGCTCGTGGCCTTGTGGCCTCTGGGAGCTTTCGTTTCCTGTATATTGTTTCTGCTTGTGTATTCATGCACAAAGAGTTACTATAGTATGAACATTCAATTATCTGTTGATATATTATTGGATGGTAAAATTTAAAATAACGTCAATTATATGGTGTTAGTGTTAATGAAGTTGTGCTTGAATGCGTCAAAGGACTAAACATAATGGGTAAAAATATACTAAGAAAGCAGGAAGAGCATATTTGACCTTAGGAAAGTATATGATTTTAAAAAAAGTTCGTTTCAATAAATTGGTTAACAAGTTCGTCAATAATTATTAAACTTATTTTAGTAAGTTTCACAATTATTTAACAAATATTTATTTAAATCCATCATCTAAACATATGCCATCTGGATGGAATTTCCAAAACAGTTAGGACGGAACTTACCATTGACCAACGTGTTATGACTAAGTAAGTTACTAAATTGGGGATATTTCTAAACTTTTTTTTCAGTATTGAATATTACTTTTTATATATACATTAATTAATATGGAAACGAGTTCAGCCTGTTGGTCTGTCCATTTAATTCATTTCTCTAGTTGGATTGAATGAGATATTCAACTGAATTTATTATTTTAAACGAGGTAAACAAAATTAAAAGAAATGTATAGGATTTTGGATTTATGAAGAAAGTTGGGTTTTAAGACTTAATATTTTAAGTTAGAAAATAGTCTATAGAAGTAAATGTATTTCTCTGATGGTTTGTTTTAATTTCCTTTTAGTATTAAAAAATTGAGGATAATGAGATTAAAATTTAAAATAATTTTATATTTAATCTTTTTTTGGTTAATCCTTCATTCCAGTCATATGTATGTATATATATGTTTGATTGATAAGTCACAATTTTTTATAACTCATTATATTCATTAAATAATTATAATTATTATTATATTAATATTATTAGATGTTGATTAAGAATTTGGGGTTCTCAAAATATCATGGTTCAAACAACAGTATTTGACAGAAAGGGATATTACAATTTTATGGATTTGTCCGTCTATTTTGTTTTTTTCTTGCTCGCATCGCATTTCCCAATTAGATTTTTCTTCTCTGCTTATCTCTTCGAATACACACACACATAGGATTCTCATGCGTTGAGCTTTTCCCCTATGTTTCATTACAAATATACCCCCTAAATATATATCTCTTTAATTATGCATTATGATGATTTTGAAACACAACATGATGGTGATAGCAGCTTCCAAGCTAACGAAGAAAAGCAAAGGGGAGAGAAACTTTTTTGGGTGGATTTGATAACTTTGGCATTTGGAATGGAAAGATCATACTTGTCCTGCACAAACCACTCAAAGCAATGGTTCCATGTTTCCAGAAAACTCAAAAGCTTAGCTTTTGCCATCATGTCATGACCCCACCATTTTCCCTTTTTATTTCCCATAACCCACGAATATTTAAGAACGCCAAATTCATGTATTCTCAAGTCATTCAATGGTATTCAATTTTTTTTTTTTCAGTTTATTATATTTTAATTACATTTAACACGTTGTCACACTCACTTTTTTTTTGTTATTGTTCATAACTTCATTTATAGGTTAAGAAATTTAAAAATTTATCACTAAGGAATTAGATTTAAAGATATTTAATTTTTAATAAGATTTTATATAATTACTTTTATTGTTATTATTATTTTTATTATTATTTACATATTATAGACTTTTTTTTATTTAAGACATTTCTTTTCATATTCAATATATTCACTTAGCAATGGGTCAATATTTTTAATGTCGTTTTTATTGTTAAAAGATATTAAAAATGTTAAAAATAGACTTATATTTCGATGGTGATTCAACAAAATTAAGAAATAGATTAAATTAAATTAAAAAATTTGTCATTTAAATTAAATTATATTATATTTATTTTAACTTAATCTATTTAAGTCACATATTACATGAACTTACATCAAATTAATAGATAAGCCTATAAGTTAATCTATTATATAGAATAATAATAAATTTAAAAAAAAAAATATATATATATATATATATATTATTTTATTATAAAATATATTTATTGTAAATTAAATAAATGTAAGAAGAAGTCTTTAACATCTATGATTTATTGTAATTTTAAATTATTAAAAAAAAATTAATGATGATAATTAAAAGTAATTTTTTTAACTTTTATTTTAGGATTAAATATATCTTATCTTATAAATTATATATTAAATTATTATATTTAAAATAAAATTTTATTTTATTAATATAATTTTAAATTTTAAAATATTTTTAGTTTTTATTTAAATATTTTTTAATTAATTATCTTTATACAGACACGTTAATAATTTTTTAACATTTTCAATCAGATTTGGATTATTAATATGTTGGTCTACCATAAATAAGAAATTATAATCGATTTAGAAATATAGATTAAGGTTACCATCAAAATTTTTTAGGAGGGTTAGATTATAAAATACTATATGATATTAATAACTTTATATATATATATATATATATATATATATATATATATATATATTACATTTACACATTATATTATTTATTTTAATCGTTATTCTTTTAAAATATCGGTTTCCTCACTAGCCAGCCACATTAACCTAATCCATTGAAAAATAAACACGTCGTTGTCAAACTATTGTTTTAGTCGAAACAAATTGAAAGGGTTACATTTATATATTTTTGGTAATTAATGGTATGTTTTGTACACACTAACGAAGAAGAACAATAGTGAAAAATAGAAGAAGTAAAGGTAAACATGTGAAAAGTAGAATAAATAGAGATGATTTGGTGAAAAAGATGCAAGACAAATACAGTAAAAAATTATTTTTCAAGATTACTTGGTAATATTTATTTTTATTTTATTTATTCTTATGATAAGAAAAAAAAAACTATAAAGGAATAAAACCAAAATAAAAATTGTATTTTAAGCCACAATTAATTGTACCATATTTCGTTCCATTTTATCTGAAATTATATTCTAGAAAGCAATGTTTATAAGAGACTGGAAGATTGGGTCCAAGAAAACGAAGAGCAAGTCCAAATTCAAAATCGGTTGGCCCAAGACTTGCTCGCAGTTTCAGTGAACATCAAACACATTTTGGGCTTTGGGTAAATTCAGGTCTGAATCCATTGTAGGCACTTTCTTCCTGGACCTCCATACTTTCTTCTTGCACCTCTATATCTCAAAGTAAAATAACTAAAATACCTATTTTATTAATTTTTGTTTCAAATTTTAATCTTTTTTTTTCTATTTTCCTGCAAAAGTTATGCACCTCCATAGATCCACAGATTTAATTTATTATGTTATCACCTCTATTTAAGATTGTTTTCAATATTTAAAGATGAATAATCGTTAATATTATGTATTTATTATATGTTCTTATACTGGAATTGTACATTGAGACCCAGATTATTCGACCTCAAATAATTGTGTATGAAATAAGATTGAGTTCCGGAATACCAAATCCATAATATATTTTTATATTAGCTTTTTCAGAAACGTGTATTCTAAAACACCTATTTTAGAATATATATATATATATATATATATGAAAATACATTCTAGATTGAGTGTTCAGAATGTATTTCTAAAAATGTATTTTGGAAACACATTCTAAAAAGATATCTCAGAACACATGTTTGGAAAGTAGGTTATGTAATAATCTTCATAATTAATTTTCTGAAAATATATTTTAAATTTATGAGTATTAGATACACTTTTAGAATTTGCAATCCTAAGGAATATTCCAGAATCATTAATCTAAATGCATTTCTAAAAGATTAATTTCAAAAAGTGTATTTTAAAACTCATTTTTGGATCATGTTCCTAGAAAATTTTATCTAGGACTTATTTTTAATCAAAATTTGTTGTGCGAATATTATATAAAGTAAAAGATTGATACAAATTAAAAATATTTGGAGATTCTTACATATTTTTTTAAATTTTTTAAATAATAAAAGAAGGAAAATAAAAATATTTAAAAATCATGAATAAACACTAAAACGAAGATAAATAAATATAAGGGTAAAATACGATATAGTACAAATATAGAAGTATAGGAAAAAACTATGGATGCGTAGGGGAAAAAAAAATAATTGTGTCCATTCTATTACCCAATAAAAACCTTTTTTACGTATACTTTGGTCCCAGTATTATTATGGTGGCATACCTAAAACTGGTATTTTCTTGTGTTTTTATTTATTTTTTTAATTACAACACAGAGATTGATTACAATACAGAAAATCATAACTATATATTATACATACATGTATCTATATTCTTATATTATTCGTTTTTTAAAATAATAATTTTTTATATATACTATAAACTATCTTATAAGTTCACGAATTTCATTATGTTTTTATTTTAATAAATTTAAATTTAACATATGTATATATATAATAAGAAGAATAAAATATAAAAAATTTGTTATAAATCAATTATATTTATTAATAGTAAGAGAGAATTATGTACATCGAATTATCCAAAATCTTTCAACTTATAATAAAAACAACTTACTACTCTTCCATCGCATATTTTAAGTATAAAACACACTTGAAAAAAAAAATTTGACATAGGGTGTTATTAATAGGTGGAACCTATAATCATCGTAAACATGTCTCAAAACACAACAGAATTTGATTGTAGAAAAAGGACAAATTGATGAAAGGTATTAACTATTTTATTTTAGAGTGGTGATATTTTGATAACTAAAAATTATACAACTCTTCAATTACTTTATTTTTATTAATATAATAATTTATAAAATAATTGAATAAAAATAAAACAAATTTATTATTATAATATATTATAAAATAATTGAATAAAAATAAAACAAATTTATTATTATAATATTAAAAGAGAGTTATTTATAAAAATGGTATGAATTTGAGTGGTATAGTTTTTTTTTTTTAAGGTACGAGTCATTTAAAAAGTTTAGTCACTAAACAGTTAATCATCGAGTTTTAAAACACATAGAAGTGATTGAAAATTTTGGTTCCTAAATACGTAATAATTAATATTTTTATTGTTAATTATTTTGTTTTCAACATATTACAAATTTTGATCGCTAAATAATAAGTGATTAATATTTAAATTATTAATATTATTGCTCTAAGCCAATTAGAACTGGTATTTCAATCGTTAAGTAATTAATGATTAATATTTTTATTATTAATATTTTTGTTTTAGATATTTGAACGATAAAACTCTTGGTAGTTAAAAAGTTATTAACAAATATTTTAATTCAAAATATTTTTGTAGTCATATTTAGCAATTAAATTTTTTTAGTAAAAAACTAATTAATGAGGAAAATTCCTGTCATTAATATTTGTTTTACATTAGTTAGTGACTCATATTTTGGTTGCTAATGTTTTGTTGTTATTTTTATTTTATTTTATATTAATTAGTAACTATTATTCTCACCATTAATCATTAGTGATTAATATTCTTACTGCTAATGTTTTTATTTTAAATTAATTAATAACTATCATTTTGGTCTGTTAGTTAATGATTAATATTTTTGTTTCTAAATATTAATTTAAAATATTTTAGGATTGCACATATTAACGTATGAATTATTAACCGCTAATATTTTTATATAATTTTTTTTATACAAATTAGAGACTGATATTCTAGTCATTAAACTATATATTTTAGTGACCAATATTTTTATCTTAATATTTTTTATTATATATCATTTAGTGATTAATATTTTAATTTATAAATTAGTACTGACCAATATTTTTGTTTTGAATCGATTAGAATAAGATTTTGGTTACTAAACTGTTAATAACTAATATTATTATTTTAAAATATTATATTTTAGACATATTAAGTTTGAGAATTTTTTATTGCTAAATTATTAGTAACTAATATTATTTATTGATAATAGTTTTGTTTTATATCAATCAATGGCTTCTATTCTGGTAGTCAAATTATTAAATTTAGTGACCAACGTTTCCAAGGTTAAATATTTATTATTTATATTAATCAGTGATTAATATTTTATTCGTTAAATTATCTGTAATAAATATTATCATTAATAATATTTTTTAAAAATTAATTATAATGGCTAATATTTTTATGGTTAGATAATTAATTATCAATATTTTCATTAATAATTTTGTCGATTACAATTTTTGTTCATTTTATATTAATAAGTGACTAATATTTGAGGGTTTAAATCACTAATTTATAGTTTTAGTGATGGTTAAATAATTAATGATTAATATTTTCATTTTCAAATATTTTATTTTAGACATACTACAAATTAAAATTTGTGTCATATCAATAAGTGACTAATCGTTTGATCATTAATTTATTAGCTTTAATGGTCAATATTGATATAGTTAATATTTTTTTTGTTTTATATTAATTAGTGATTGATGTTTTGGTAGATAAATTATTAATAATTAATATTTATATTATTAATATTTTTATTTTAAATCAATTATCAACTAGTATTTCCATTGTTAAATGGTAACCATCAATCTTTTCGGTATACTAACATTTTTGTTTTCAATATTTTTATGACCATAATTTTGGTTGTTAATATTTTGTTTTATACATATTAGGATTTTTTTATTAAATTATTAACCATCAATATTTCTATTTCTATCGTTAATATTTTTTTTAATTATTAACCTTAACAATTAATACTTTTTGTTTTATATTAATTAGTGAATAATATTTTGATCACTAAAATAATCAGTGACTAATATTTCCTTTAAAAATATTTTTTTAAAAATATATTAGCAAAGTTTAGTTTATCATCAATAATTTTTTTTTTACATGTTTGCGATGGAAAAATATTGCTCACTAAATAATTAGTAATACTTTTTTTCTAACTTTTTTTGCTTTATATACCTATATTATTACTGATCTTGTTAAAATTTGTATTTTTTTATAATGACTATAATTTTGATTATTATAATATTAACGATCAATATTTCTTCATCAATAAAATTTTAATTACTAATATTTTCATACCTAATATTTTTAGTTCAAATCAATTAATGATTGAAATATTTTGTCGCTAAATAATTAACAACCATACGTCTACTATTAATATATTTGTTTTAAATTAATTTACGTCTAAAACTATTATCACTAATGACTAATATTTTCGTTATTATTTAAAGTGACTAAAAATTCTAATTTCAAATTAATTGGTGAGTAATGTTTTTCATTGCTACTATAATTTTTTTTTCACTAAATTTTGATTGGTTAACGTTTAATTATTTATATTTATCAAATTTTTATATAGTTTTAATTATATATTGATGATAAAATTAGTAATAAGGATTGATATGTGAATTCATTTATATCATAAATTTTTAAAATTGGATTGGATGAATTACAACATTTATTTAAGATTTATTAAATATAACATTTTCTAATAATGAAATGATATATTAAAAGTGTTTTACATAATAATTATAATAAATATTTATATTTAATAAAATTATAATATTTTATTTAATTTTTATACATTATTAATTATTTTATTAAATTTTTCATTGTTGTTAAATAAATTTTTAATTTATTATTAATATATATATATATATATATATTGAGTTATATATATTTATTGTTATATAAAATTGTATTTTATTTAAATATTAAATATAAAATAAATCTATCAAAATTATTGTAAAAAATGTTACAACAATTACATATATGAAAAAATTGAAAAAAAATATTTTTTTATGGTAATAATAATTAAAAAATAATTATTATTTCTTACCGACCGATGAACAGTATCCGCAACCGCAAGTAACTTGGAGGTTTGTAAGCCTTCTTAACGGAGTCAACGTTCTTTCTTTACCATGTTTGATTACGAGCACAAATTATAATAAAAAAGAAAAAAATATTAAAAAATAAATTATAATTATTTGATATATTATAAATAAATATAAAATATATATTTAAAATTTGGTAAAAAATATATTTAAAATTGATTTGGTAGAAAAAAATAAAGAGACGAATAATAAATGAGGAATATTGTTACTATTTAAATTTTTTATTGAGCTACTTTAACAGCAAATTTATTTTTTTACCTATTTGTTTAATTTACTTATTTGAAACATAAATATTTCTTCTTAAATAAATAATTTTTTAAAATATTTTATTTCTCTAACAAGATGGTACAATATGAATTCTATTGTTTTCTCGTCTTCTCTCGACGAAGGGTGAATCTAAAGTGCGGTGTGATTCTCGTGATGGAAAATATAACAAAACAATTAACTAATTTAATAATAATAAAAAAAACTTCTCAGCATAGAAGAATCATATATATATATATATATATATATATATATATATATATATATATATATATAATAATAGACGTACAAATCTCTAGAACTTTTCACTATAAAAGATAGAAATTATGAGTCATAAACTAAATAATAATACTTCACGTAAATTAAATAATAATATTTACAAATTAAAAAAAATATATGATAAACACAAAAACAAAATCTTACTATAAACCATTTTTACTGAAGAAATGTCTAGTTGATTATCTAACATTGAAGAATTATGGTTATGAAACCAAAACCAAGTTAACAGAGAATAAATTTCTAATAACAATTAAAAAAGAGGTAATATGGTTAATTATTAATAACTTTTACCTTTTCTATTTTTCACTCTTTGTAAGGTGGCAGATAGGGATACTAGTGTTGTTAACATAGGAAAGAGTCAAAAAGGCAATATCTTGAGATTAGATTCTTATTATATCCCATCGCATGACATATGGACACGTGGATAACATGCTATCATATGCACTGTGTCAGTATGACACCTTTCGCACGCTCTCCAAAGTACTCTATCCAATATCTTCCCCATCCTCTTCCAATACCTAATTATTCAAACAAATCTACTTAAATAAATACAATTCTTTCTTCTCTGTGTTCTATGTTTTATTCAACGTGCAACTTTATACATCTTTTTTCAAGGATTTGCTGAGAGAATTTTAAGTTAGTTCGAAATTCTATTTTATGTAATTTAATAGGTCAAAAAGTAATTCAAATATCTAAAGCATATTGAATAATTGATCTAATAATAGTATGGAAAAATATTTTATTGAATAAGTAGTCAATCACATTAACCGGACGATGAATTGGATGCAATATTTAATGAAAAATAGTGACAGGAAAAAAATATTCAGGCTTTATTTAATAGAAAACAGGGAAAAAAAGAACGAGGCTTGTTTAGTTTTTCTCTCTTTTTTTTATTATTGTTTACATCTTATTTACTAATCAACATGTTATTCATATTCTAAAAAAATTCAAAAACTTTTTTCTTTAAAATAAGTTATTTAAAAATAAAAAGAGAAACAATTAAGGATAATAAAGTAAATGAAGGTGATTAAAATTGAAATTAGACGTTGAGAATAGGGTTGAAGGAGTTTGAGGTGAGGATGGGGTTGATTTGGGGTCACCGACAGGGATAAGATGATGAAAGGTGAGGACTTTAGTGATAGACGAAGACAAAAGGCCACCAAGGGACAAAGACTCTTGGGGCTTGGGGAAGCAGGCATCTGGATTAGTGGGGTACACCATCTTCACCAAACCTAACTTTATTTCACAACCAGTTATAATGTTAAAAAGAAGTGTTTTTTAAGAAAATGTCTTTTTATATTTCTTAAAGGAAAAAACTTTGAAATTGTTCACGAGTGGTTTCAGAGATGGTACTGAGGAAAAAAAAAAAAGGTAAATTAGATTTGATGGTGTCCCATTGTGGTGACAGAGTCTGTGCGTTCAGCATTTTTGGAAGTGGAGAAGAAAGTAAGAAATAACAAATAAAAAAAAGAAGAAGCAAAAACTAGAATGCAGTACATAAGTTACCCCCACTAGCATCACACACAATTCACAAGTTTGTCGCTCTTCATGAAACAAACAGAGCACTCTGTTTTTCTCCAATCGCCACCATGCCTCGCCCAGCTCCCAAACCTTACGACTGCGTCAAAAGAGCTTGGCACACTCAAATTCACCAACCCATAAGAGGAACGCTCATTCAAGAAATTTTCAGGTCACCCCTTTTCTCGTTTCCCTCTCTTCCCTCACTCACTCACCAACACACACACACACTCTCTCTCTCTCTCTCTCTCTCTCTCTCTCTCTCTCTCTCAAACACACACATCATAAACATTTCTTCTTCTTTTTATTTGTCACCTTAATGAATCTTTTTTTAAAAGGGTTGTGAACGAGATACATGGCTCTTCCACTAAGAAGAAAAAAGAGTACCAAGAGAAGCTCCCCGTCGTCGTGCTCAGGGTAGAGGAAATCATTTACTCCAAAGCCAATTCTGAGGTAACCGACCTTATTTGTTGGTATTTTACGGTTTATTTGAAAAAGAAGAAGTAAAAATTATAATTTTTTTGAGGAGGTGGAAAGAGAAACATCATACGAGGATCAAAACTTTGGTGGTGTGGAATGGATAATAATTATCATTGGAATAATTTTCTTGGGCAGGTCGAATACATGGACCTTGGAACACTTTTGAACAGAGCAAATGATGCCATCGATACTATAATTCGATGTGATGAGCATGCAGAAACTGGACAGTATATGCGACCTTGCATCGAAGGTATTTAACTGTGCTCAACTCTCACGTTAGAAAATAAAAGAATGAGGAAGCTCTCAACTTTTGTTCATAACCTTTAATAAATAAAAAGGAAAAAACGTTTTAACATGCTGAGAGAGAACATAAATGAAAAATCTCCATGAGAGTTTATCTCTTTCTTTTTAAAAGAATGCCTTTTTTAACACTTTTATAGGTACGAATGAGATTAGAAGGAATTTTAAAAGAAAGGCAAGAAGAGAAAAAGTGAAAGAAACACTCTTGCCTTGTTTGTTTGGTTCTCTAATCAGAGAAGAGATAATGTATAATCGTTGTGGGCTTCATAAGGAAGGGAGGGCATGGATTAGGTTAGTTCTACTTAACAAATATGCAAACACAGATGTTCGTTAAAGAGTGTTCGTCATTTTACAAATATATACTTTTCTTTTCTTCATTTTCTAAGAGATAAAAAAACCGTTCTTTCATTTCTTTTTACTTACATCTAAGAGAAAATATTTTACATGAACTATTATTTAGACAAGTTATTTTTTCACTTTCCAATCTCTAAACTGCTCTAATGGGTGACAATTGTTGCACGCGTGTGTTATGTGTAATTTTCCTTCTTCGATTGGTATTATGGTTCAGCTGCTCTGAGCTTGGGATGCTCCCTAACAAAATCCTCAAGGAGTCAACGCAACAACCAACGTTGTTACCTTAATCGCAACACTGAAGAGGTTCACAATCTCTCTCATGAGGCGAGTGGAAGAGATTACTCAACAAAATTGCAATATGTGTATGAGAATGTAGCCTCAGCTAGTAAAAAGCAGTGCGTGGAACATCAAACACCACCAAATTGTTTTTCAGTTTATCCTTTGTACTATGGTAACAATATTATTCAACTCGACGAGTCTCAACATGGATTCAATGTTTCACATGTATCTGTTTCTCACACTAGTGGACCTACCCCTGTGGGTGGTGCCAAGAATCCCCTAGCCCATAACTTTAATTCTTCAAGTGGGGTTTCCCAATCACGCATTATCAATGGGGATTTTGAGAATCCATGCACAAGCAAGTGTGATCTATCATTGAGGTTAGGACCCTTTAGCGGTGTACCATCCCCTAGTTTTGAAAATGGTCAGATTCAGGAAACTGAAGTGAGAAGCAAGCTGAACTGTTCGAACCTCCCAAAGGGGGAAAATATGAAGCTTTAAGGACATTTCTGAGAGTGCAGCCAACAAAAGTACAATAACCAGATATGGATTTTAGAGGTCTGTTTTCAGCCTCATGTAGTGTGTGTACTATCTTCGAGACATTTTGGTCTCTCTCTAGACTTGTTTGTGTTGAAAATTATGTAAGCTATTACTTTATCGTTATAATCTCCGAAATTGTATTTCTAAGTGTAGGTGTTTTCTTGAGTTACTACAATATTGGTTGAATGGTCTTTTGATGTGTTTTGAAATATTCAGAATATAATCAATGGATACTAGATATCGAATATATTTGAACGTTGCAATCTATAGTTAAATGAATGGATGGAACCACTTTGTGAAAATATATGGTTTAAACATGGACACGAGTCTTGAGAAAAAAAAAACATAGATGAACCATTGTGTTCTTACATGAATGCAATGTCCCCTTCCTATTTTTGTATATGTTATTTGAAAAAAATATTTATAGAGATCATAATAATAGTCTCTAATTTTAAACAATTAGTTAATAAAATAATTAAATACTAAAGTAGAATCTAAATTTAAAGTAGTCAAAGTTTAGTCGATTAAACTAAAGATATGACCCAAATACATCAGTTCATGATATAATTAAATAAATAAAGTTTTAGGGAGTGTGAACGTAGTTGGAATTTGGGTTCATAGCAAACAAGATAATTGATACTTGCTTGTCGAAATATGAACTACATGCTAAAATACTACTTCAAAGGATAAGAGAAACTTGAACCTAGTCTATAAGCATTGCGCTGACAAGTAAAGATACTAATTTTTTTCTCTCTCCCAAGTCCACAAAATTAATTATTTTAGATTTTGAGACATTTGTAAGATCCCTATAGTAATAATAAAGTAATGATTGATAACTTATTATTATTATTATTATTATATTAATTAAATTTAAGTTGTAGTAAGATTGTTCAGTGAGGATATGGTTGTCACAGATGATTTCCTAATTTCAATAGCAACAGTTTTTTTTAGATGTATAATTGAAATAAGAGAAATAGAGGAAGCAAAAATTTGGAAGAAGACAAATAAAATAATAGATATAATAAATGATAAAATAGAAAATGTAGATAAAATATATATATATATATATATATATATATATATATATATATATATATATATATATATATATATATATATATATATATATATAGAAGTGGGATAAAATAGTGTCAAGTTTTTTACATTAAAAAGTTGATTAAAAAATGAAATATTATGGATAACTGCATGGTATATTGTATAAATTTTAGATACAAGTTGTCACCGAATACAACACAGCAATCAGAATTAAATTAATATGAATTAGTTTTTGAGAAATGATGGTTTCACAATCACTATTCCCAAAACCTTATTATTATTTATAATTGTTGAATGGAATTTTGGGTGTTAAAATATTAGTATCCTTAGTTTTTTTTTTTTCACAACAATTGTTCAAGGACAACCAGTTGGCATTCCTGCCATCAATGTGATACGAAGATACAATTTTTTTATTTGTCTCCGATCTAGGATATCTAGCCTATGATTGTGACATGACTATAATCCAAGGTTTTAAAAGCATCAATCTTACAATTATAAAGTCAAGAGGATCTTCAAACTTGGATGATGTTGCACATATTCATTGGGTGATACATCACAATAATATTGTGATGATTATGCTTCTAATGACCCACTTGATATGAGAGACCACAAAGAATCAGTTGAAGTAGCAGCAGAAGATGATGACGACGAAGAAGAGGAAGAAAAGCTATAATGAAAATCAATCTGCAATTGTCGATGAAGATTAGGACTTGAAACACTCCATTTCCTCTCCTCCTTCTCCAGTTGCCAAAGTGGTATAGCAGCCAAAAAGCGTTTGATGAACTCTTTACAACACTCTTTTCCATGACAAATTATCTCATGACTTTTCCTATCACTTTTCTCACTCCCACCACCACCAATTCCCTTTGAAGGCTCCTCTTTTGCTTTTTCCATTTTCTTATAAATCACACTCGAATCATCAAACTTCAATATGAATGCCTGTTGGCAACCTTCAAAAAGTCGCTCCCCTAAAGAGTCAATGATGTAGTAAGCATCTCTTTCTACCTTCAACACAAAGAAATGATCATTCCAACTAACTATGTAAATTCTTGGCTCATGATCACCCACCTTGCTCTTTATCTCATCCCAAATCTCATCAAAAGACATGGCTCCTTTTAAGCACTGAAACTTCTCAGGGGAGAAAAACCCCGTATACGATTTATGAGGCAGAACAATAAGAGGTCTTAGATTGGCGTCAATGATTGTCTCAAGATCAAAATGTTTATCTGGGAAGAGCTTTGAGTAGTAATCATTGTTACATAGCCTTCTCCACTGAGATGAACCTTGTGTGATGAGTTTCTCAAATTGCACTCTTGTTGGCATACCATCGTTGCAGTGGAGCCAATGGGCTATGAGTGCAACTAAAACTGTGCATGCACTCTCACCACAAGCTTTTTCACTCATTTGGTCAAAGGAAGCAAAAAATACATTGGTTTTGAGCTTTGTCTTCCCATCTCTACATTTAATCTCCTTGAATTCCCAACTTATTGATGTGTCTTTTTGGTATACTTGTAAAAAAAGTTCATTTGATTTCTGTCATAAGTCAACAAAAGCATTTAGTAACTTTCTAATTGGTCTAAAGAAAAATGTTTTGCTTATAGCAATGCAAACTAGGAGGAATATAACATACCGTGAAAGGACCAGGGTAGGATGTTTGAATCTGTTGTTTAATGGATGTCTTAAAGTTCCACTCATCGGTGCTTCTATTCCTCTGTAAATCAGTCTTTGTCCTAGAGGTTTTTAACCTCTCAGAGCCATTTGTAAATGTTGATTGTGTGTTGTGAGTTCTATTATTGTTGCGACCACTGCTTGTGTTGGAATCGTTCGATGAATCATCTGAGTCAAGCATGGGGGATCTATCCGAGTCATAAGGACTGCTTTGTTTTGATTCGTCAATCTTGTCATTATTCTTCATTCCCAAACTTGTCAAATGCTTTACTTTCTCTATAATCCCATGTTTCTTCTCTTGCTGGGCACTATTTTCAAATGGTCTTGCTAACACTGGGTCATCCTTAGAATTAGAATCTCTCAACTTCAATAATCTTAAAGAAACCTGTTAAAAAACAGCACAATGAGATATTGTGTTTTTTCATCACTTTTATATACCTTTTTCTCATTCATTAAATGATAGTCAAATTATTATTATTTAAAAAACACAAACACACATACGAACAATAAGGTGTTCTTAACAGAGAATTCACGCTTCTTTCTTAGCATTTCTCTTATTATTAGACTCATACGAACAAGTTATTCCGGGAGTTTTACTTGAAAATAATATAAAAAATAAATTTAAAATATGTTTCATAACCACCTAACTGAAAATTGTGATACATAATACTTTTTAAAAATTATGTTACGTTGATGCCATAACTTTTTTACACACTACATATAAAAACTAAATCTATGATAAAATTATTTTTTTAAAAGGTATAAAATGTGTATCGGTAGTATTTTTGACGCACAAATATTAACCCGACAACACGATTTAATTTAAAATAAAGAAGGAAAAGGAAAAAGACAAGTCTTTGGGTAATCGCGGTCAACTTACGTTATTCTGAAAGTGAATTGCCACAGAAATGAGGGACACGAGTGATGAGTTCAAACAACAAAATAAAATATGAGTCGTTTGTTTTATGAGTTTGTATCCATGGAGGTAATCATAGAAAATTTCAATGAAGGACCTAAGGGTTAATTCTTTCCTTCCAATTTTTGTGTTCTTTGTGCTTATGAAAGGGGTTTTGACTAAGAAGGGGCAAATAAAACATAATTATTTGTATTGATAATTACTAAAAAAAGAAGGAACAAGGAAAACGAAGTTTGAGCGTACCAAAAGGGTAGCTTCTATGCATATACCATTGACCCTCAACTTGATTGGAAGCCTCTTTTGGAAGTGATTATGAGAACTGGACTTCGTCTTCTTCTTCTCCTCCCTCCCCACCAACTCCGCCAACGCAACGCTCATTTCCGCTTTTCCGACCGCCGTCATCTTCGCTTTTGCTTTCGCTTCTTCCCCACCTCCTTCTCCCTGCACATCATTTTTAAACATTTTTTTTATAAACAAACAAAAAAACATATTAATAAATAAATCAACAAATCATACTTGAACACCTCCTATTTGACAGAACGACACTCACATTTCTACTGTTTCGTTTTTGAAATTCATAATGTTGAGACCGATGGAGTCTTTGTTCTATTTCGGAATGTTTTTCGTTAAGAAAAATAATCTATTTAATGTCTTTTATGTGACACACAAATAATCTCCAAAACAGAATATGCATGTGCTAAGACAGTTTAGGATAAAAAAGAATAATCCAAGAGAATTTTCAGCGTAATTTATTCTAAAAAAATAAAAAATTGTTGTTCTTACATATAAGACAAGAAGTGCCAGGTCACAAACATCGAGGGAGTCGTCTTTGAGAAGGAGATGAAAAGCGCAGAGGTCGCGGGCATCCCATGTTAGAGAGGGGGATTTGGAACTGATGAGCCTACGGGAAGAGGTTGTGTGAGAGCTTTGTCGTTTTGAAAAGGGAGAGAATGAGAGAGGTGTCGTTTTGGGCTTCGAAGAAGTGGAAGGTTTTTCTTTCTTGGTAGCAGTCCCTGTTATTTGGAAGGCGACCTTGTCGTTTGGGGCACCCAGGGTGGCTCCGAAGAGTCCCAAATCGAGCTTCAATTGGGTCACCTTGAGCGCGTGTTTGTTGGAGTGCCCCGACAACTTCGTAGCCCAGCACTTCATCGGCGACATCTCCTCGTTCCGTACGCTCAATGCTGTGTTTGGTCGGAGGAATAACCATGGATTGAAGAAAAGGGATAGTTAATTTGGTTAGTGACTGGTAGAATTGGTTGTGGTTATATATCTTGGTGTGGTTTATATATCTTGGTGTGGTTTTGGAAAGTTAAATTATGATGGATCAAAGAAAAAAAAAAAAAAAAAGAGGTGGAGAACGAAGGAGAAGGGAAAAGTGGTTTTGGAGTCAAAGAGAATTAGTCACAGTTGTGAGTTTCCATATTTCCGTGTCAGCGGAATGCCACGGTCTTCACGACTTTGCATCAACACACGCTTGCTGAATGCTGATCTCTTATTTTCCAATTAAATTTCCCTTTTAATGTCTTAACATGTCACTGCTCTGCGTTTTATACTCTTCATTTATCAAAATTTTAAGTTTCAATCTCATTACAACATTCTATTCATTTTATAAAAGATGGTTAACGTATGATAACATTTACAGTGAATGACACTTTGTAAAATTAACACTAGAATATTTCTTTAAATTAACTATTAAAGTAGTAAATATTTATAATTTTAAAATCATGGTGACAATTAGCTCGTTATTTTATATTATCTTGGAAGGAGATTATTTGTAAAGAAAAATATAGTGCATGGAACAAAATTATATGAATGTGATAGTTTGCTAATGACCTAAAATCCAAAGTAATGAAATTCAAGGTTTTTGTGTGTATTGTGAAATTGCAAATGAAAGAGGTGGGTAGTGTGACTGTTAACGTGTGTGGGTTGGGGCGTCATGGATAATTTGCAAAGCAAAGAAAGAGTCGGTCGGTGCAGAGCCACACTCGACAACCTTGCTTTCAAATTAAAATCTCACACTTAATTCAGATGTTATGAAAACTATCTATATAATGGAAATTCGCATTTTATTTCTATTATATAGAAAAAATTGAATAAACTTGAAAAAATTGTGCCAGGAAAAATAAATAATCTGACACTAATTCACCTGCTTATGCTTATGCTGGCACCCCACCTTCTTCAGTCCTTTCTCCTAACCAATGTCTCGCCCTCCAAGAATAACAAGATTCCTCCCAAAAAAATTTCTCCTTTTCTAAGGAAATTATAAGAAAATCATGAAAAAAAAAAAATTGTGTCGTTTGGCATCTGAGTCAGGTTTTCTTAAATTAGTTAAAAAAAAAAAAAAGCATTGGGTTTATCACACTTTGATTGGGCCATGAAGTACAAATGGGCCCATATGGTTAAGCAATTGATAGCAAGTCCACACCATAACAAGAATACTCAAATTAAAGAAAAGGATTGAATTCAACTGCACACGTATGTGTCGACATAACATATTGTAATACCTTGTCTGATGAGTTTAGGGGTGACGTTGAATTAAGAACATACTTAATTACGCCGTTTGAGAAATGTTAATACCTTATTAGCAGGAAATTAAATAATATGATGGTCATCTTAAACCTTAAGACCAATTAACAGTGAGGAGTGTTGAATTGGAGAAGTTTGGGTGAGTATATTTAAAAGGGGACTAGGTTTGGTGTTTGGGAAAGCTGAAGAGCAAACTCCATTTATTCTTATATGCATGTTTATACACGGAATGCTTCTGGCCTGCCCTTTCTGCATAAAAAGAGACACTCATTCTAATGCGTATCGATTCATTCGTGTCATTGTTTTTTTCTTCCCTTTTCATGTCAAATTTGAATTTGAGTCTGCTATGTATTTTCTTTTCATCCATCCTATTATATAATAAGTGAATAAAATGTTATTTAAAAAATTAATATACTATGTTGTTTGTACTTAATTTCATATACTGATGGGTCGACAATGGCGGATGAATAAGTGATTTCACTCCTTAAATCCGTTATATGTCTTAAAAAATATATTTATATATTAAAATTAAAATAAAAAATTATAATTTATTATATTATATTATATTATAAAAAAAAATATATATATATATATATATATATTATAATTTAAATTATACAAATAAATAAATTAAATTTAAATTATTAATTATAATTTATTATTTTGATACATAAATATATATTTTTAATTTATTTAATAAAAATTTAAAATTATTTGTATAATTAAATATATATTTAATATATATATATATATATATATATATATTTTTTTTTTTTTTTTTTTTGACGAACGGATGTGTGACCCATTTAAATATGATAGTTCAGTCTGTCTTTCACACAGACATTGTCAAAATTAAATATGAAAACTAACTAAATAATCTTAATTTGATAAGTTAATTAAAAAACTTAAGAAATACATTTTGTTAGATAAAAAAAAACATGTCTTAGAGATTAATTAAATTCATTCATTACAATAAATAATAGATTTATTGATAGACAAAATTAGTCGATAACAACAAAAATTCGATCAGTAAATATATATTATCGATGATTTACTTGATGAAAAAAATTTATTGAAAATTTCATCGGTAAATATTACCAATAGATTTGAATAGTTCATCGGTAAATACCGATAAATATATTCGTCAAAAAGTGTTATACATAATAACCAACAAATATATCCATCGGAAAATGTTATAGATAATTATCGACAGATATATCCGTCAGAAAGTGTTGTAGGTAATTACTGACGGATATATCCATCGGAAAGTATTGAAAGTGTTATAGGTAATTCGTCGATAATATCCTAATTTCTTCTCGGTTCCATTTCATTTTTCAGTAAACCTAATTTCTCGAAAATCAACCACACTCTACTTATCCATTATTGATGAACCAACCACTTTATAAATAAAAATACTATAAATTCAACGTTATTTCTTGACAAGAGAAAATGAAGAGAGAAAACAAAGGGGGAAGTGCGTGCAGATTATCGCGAAAAATGGATGGTGTTGCCAAATATTATGATAAGTAGTTAGATCAACTTTCAGAAACTTTGAAGCAATATATGCAGCTCTAGCAGCAATATGGTGGGGTTTATACTGAAGTCATATAGAGCTCTTAATCCTGCAAAACGACATTTTTTGAATTCAGAAAACTACACAAATGCATCATTATTGTGTTATGCAAACATCTCTTAACATACATTCAGAGATATACAAATATTAAACCATTTGAGGAAACAAGAATAGAGATTATTGTAAGACTTAACACATGTTTTCACTATGTCAGAGATCATGTCAGCTTTTGAAATAAGAAATAAAAGCTAGAAAAGACATACAAAATTGAACATTGATTCCAATGGCAAAATACAAATTTACTTACTTTTCCTTGCCAACAAGAAAGGCAACAATTCAGGAAGAATATTATTCATCAATCTCTGCACTATTTTAGAATTAGACACTAAACTACCAATGAGCATGTCATTTTCAAAGTGTGAATCGTTAATTAAGGAGTTAAAGTGAAGAAGAAAACTTAAATAAGATAAGTTGTCTGCAACATACATTTCTATAATTATTGGAAAATGGAGAATTTATTGTAAAAATTACATGGATTTTAATGAAAAATTAGTGTTGAATTACGTAGATATGAAAACTACATATCTGTCGATAACTAATTGTTAATTTATCAACAGATATATCTGTTGATAATTAATTGTTCATTTACTAATAAATATATTTGTCCGTAAAATCAAATACCACAAATACTTTAAATTAGTTCGGTAATGTCTATCGGTAATCACTTATTTTTCGACGACTACGTATTTATCGATAACTATCCATCGATAATTAATTATTTTCTTGTAGTGATTTAGACTATATCTAAATGATTAAAATAACTTATAAATTTATAAATCAAGTTTGTTATAAATAATAACTATTTTAAAAAAATGAATAAAATAAAATAATTTATTATAGATTAATTTAATAAATAATCTATTTATTATTGGATGTAATATAAAAATTATTTTTTTAGTACTAAATTATTTAATAATTAAGGGAAATTATAATTATAATTTATTATATCATTAAAAAAAAGTAATTTTTATTCTGTAATGACTATATTTTTGTATAATTTATATATTAAATTATTTTATTAAAAAATAAAATAAAATTTTAATAATATAAATTAAAATTAAATTTTTTATTTGATATTTTAATTAATGATTATTTATTTTTAATTAAATCAAAAGTAATAATCGATTGACATAACTTAAAAAAATTATAATTTATTTTAAAAAATATTAAATGATAATATATTTATATTAATAATAAGTTAATACTGGATGAAATTGTTAGTTTTAACAATTTTAAATATCATTAATAAATTTAATCTTAAATTTTTTGATAATATAATAAATTTTTTTCAATCATTATTAAAATTTAGCAAACTTTACAAGAAACAAAAAAAAAAAGAAGAAGTAACTTTTCGTTGTTAATTATTTGGTACCACTTGATGAAAGAGAAAACTATTTTGTCGTTGAATATTTATAGCCAAACAACAAAACAAAAGTGTAATTTTGTCAATATGTCAATATATTACATATCCACTTGGTCACATATGAAAAATTGAATTTGCATCCATCTCAATTTTATAAATATTTTTTATTATAAATAAGTTTTATTTTTATTTATATATTATAATTTCATTATATTTTTAATTAATATATTTTTTAAAGAATTTATATTAATGAAAAATTACATTTAATAGCAATATATTATGATAATTCCATCATAATATTATGATAAAATCTTTTTTCACATTGTATCATTTTTGTCGTTCTTGTAAATATCTTCTTGCGTTATTTATTTTTTCTCTTTTCTTATTGTTTGATGCTACTGGCACCACCTTATCTGTGACAGTGATTCTTCATTTGATATGGTAAGCATGCTCTCTACCATATGAACACTTTTTTATTTTATTTTTTATAACTTTTGTACCCTTAAGAGTTTTTTAACAACGAAAAGACAATATTCTGAAGTGAGGTGATAATCGAGTAAAATAACAATGGATTATATGCTAGAAGCACTGATGTCCCCGGTATGTATTTAATAATTAATATAATATCACCTAGAGACAAAATACTTAATATTTAAGAATAGTATCCAACAAAATACTTCATACCTATTTACCATTTGTTTTTCTTTAACGTTATTAATCCTACGTGCGCAAGCAAATAACAAATCGGTTATCCCGTTATAAATAATAAAATATATTAAATAGCGGACGAGAGGAAAGGTGATAAAAACTAATAAGAAAAAGACAAATAATAATTATGAGATTTTTCTTCAATAAGATGAAGTGGCGTTTAATTAGATATGGTTAGATCTCTAAGGTGGAGCGATGTTACACCTAACTCATTCTTTGAAGTGAAAAAAAGGTTATTAATGGGTTTTGAAACACTCTCACACCCCATTTATTCATAACTACTGGTGTTTGAAATTGAAACATTACTACTGTAGCACGAAAGAAGACCATACCCAATACAATATCCGTGTCTGTTTTCAACACCTAACAGCACAACCAATAAATTTACATTAATTCACAAACAGGTAGCATAATCATGTCAGACTGCCTAACACTGTACTACTTCTGATCCCATCCAACATTTTTTTAACCAGATTTATATAATTCATGTCATGCTCCATATTTAATTGCTAATGGAAGTACTTCATTTTCAAGAGGATGACTTTCATATATGATATTGTAATAGAAGAAGATTACTAAAATCCTCAGCTTCAAGAAGACACTGACACTTAATTCCTAAGAATCAAATCAGAAATATACCGAGTCATTACAATAATATATATATATATATGGGTTTATCTCTATTCAAACAAATTTTTTGTGGAATGAGATTAAGGATATCTGTGAGATTCTTTTGGTCTGGTGGAAGTTGGTGTGTCGATCGAAGGAAATGGGTGGGCTTGGAATTAAGGATGTGAAGTTATTTAATTATGTTTTACTTGGTAAATGGATCTGGCGTTGCTTATCGTATCCAAGAGCTCTTTGGATGCAGGTTCTTCAGGCGAGATATGGCCTGACCCTGTCATGGTTGAGTGTGTGTTTGGTGAATCGATGTGCTTCTAGTTGGTGGTAGGATTTTGTGTCTACTTTACAGTTAGGAGTTAGGAGGACAATTGGCTGATGATAAGATATTACGGGTTGTAGGGGATGGTACTTCGACGAGATTTTGGAAGGAAAGGTGGCTGGGTGGATTTAGGCTAAAGGAGGTTTTTCCCATATTATATTTTTTTGCTCTCGATCCCTCTTCGATTGTAGCGCAGAATGATCATTGGTCTGGAGATAATTGGGTTTGGGGCATTCCTTGACGCCGTTTTCCCATCTCATTTGAGTTGCCATTGGTAGTGAATTTGATAGAAATTCTGGATGGAGTTGTGTTGCATCCTCACCTGGAGGATCACTGGTGTTGGTTGGTTGATGCTTCAGGGTTATATTCTGTTAAGTCTGCTTATTGTTGGTTATTGACTCTTTTGGTTAATATTTCGACTCATGTTAATATTCAGGAGGTGTTGTGCAGACTGCGGAAAGGTAAAGTACCTATCAAATGCTTGGTATTTTCTTGGCAACTTTTCTTGGATTATGTTCCCTGCAGATGCTTCTGCAGGAGCGTGGTGTGTAGTTGGATTCTGTTTTGTGTCTTAGATGTGATTTATTTGTTGAAGATCAAATGCATCTTTTTGCTTTCTGCTCGGTGACATATAGTACGTGGATGAATATTTTTTGCTGGCTTGGTGTTAATTTTGTTATGTCTTCTTCTTTGGTGTCCTTTTTTTTTGTTTGATGTGGCCAAGGAAGGAGTAAAAAACGATCCCAGTACTTTGTTATTGTTTGGGTTGTAGTCATTTGGTCCATTTGGTTGCATCGAAACTGTGTGATCTTTAAACAAGGCGTTGTGGATCGGTTGAAGTTGTTTGATTCTATTCGTCTTTATTCTTGGAAGTGAATCTCTTCGGCTGGTATGAAAATGTCTTTTAGCCTTGTAGATTGGCACAATAATCCTTGGATCTATTTTGTTTAGTGTATTTTTTAATAACTTTTTTTTGTTTTGTATTGTACTCTATTTTTGGGATATGAGTACCTTGTACTCAGTTTAATTAATTGATGTTATTTGCTTAAAATTGTTGGCAAAATTTGGGTCATGTATATATATGATACATAATTTAAATGTGTTAGGGCCATTATTTATTAAGCCAAATAATAAAGTGATCTGACTAAATTAAAGTTTTGGTTAAAGACATATGTCATGAAAATAAAATTGTGTAGAGACCATAGAGCAATTTCTAATTTGATGAGGGGCCAAATTGGAAATACAAAAACTTAAGTAATTAACCTAATTCTGGTTATCTAAAGGGTCATGGTCCCCTTCTAGGAGCACGTAGACAGAACGTAGTTACAGTCCCGTTCTTTTCTTTCTATCCCCATCAAGAGAGAAAATCCATAAGGAAATACAGGTGTTCTTCAGGTGGAAGACCATAAGATCAAATCAAAGGTGCTCTACAAAGAATATCATCATTATGGCTAATTCAGGTATGCTTTCGCATTTAGTTTATAACATGTTTACAGTATGGGATTATATATATATATATATGTTTGATCATTAGGAAGAAGATCATATTTAATTATCAGTTTACCTAACAATTGGTATCAGAGCAACTCATACTTAATTCATGTTTATCTTTGAAAATTACATTTATCAAAGATTTTATTCAATTCAGAACCGTAAAGGGAGAATAATCTCCAATTTTTGTAAACCCTAAATTTAAATTTGGGGGTAAATTCCCAAATTTTAAACCTAGTTTCGAATTTGGGGTAAATTCCCAAATCAAGTGAGGGAGCGAAGATGGAGAAGATGATCGCAGTGGGTATAGTGTGAGGCGCCACTAACGCTGTCACGCGCCGGGGTGCGCTTCTCTGGGACGAGGCTCTGAAATCTTCCGCAAAGCCACGTTGACGTGACATACCCTTTGGCTCTTTCTATGGCAGTAGTTATATATCAAACCATCGTCCACTCTTTCTTCCTATCACACTCCCTCTTCTAAATCACCTTCTTCATCTCCAACTATTTCCGTTGCTGATTTATGTTAATTGCCATACTGATTTAATTAGTGCATTTCTTTGAGGAAAAGAAACAAGAGTTGTGTCATTGGAAGTGAATTCATAGACAAAGGCAAAGATGTTGGGAGTTTTCAAGGAGAAGTTGGTTAATGCACCCAAGGAGCTGAACAATCCAGCTTCTTTGAATTCATGCGCTAAGCCTAAGTTAAGCCATGAAGTTGTGAAGGATTTCATGTCCTGCAACAAGAATGGATTTGTGATCTATGACAACAAGAATGGAACAGTTTTTGTTGCATCTGGTTCCAATGCCTAGATTGGGCTCTACTGGGGTATTGCAGCTGATGGTTCGGTAGTAATTTCTGAAAATCTGGATCTTATAAAAGCAAGTTGTGCTAAATCATTTGCACCATTTGTTGGCAAAATTTGGCCCAACAAGAATTAATTTGCCTTCTTAATTTTAAATAAATAATTATTAAATATTTGGTTTTGTTATATAAATAAAATATTAATTTTTTGGTAGTTTAATATTTTTTTGTGAACAAATTGAGTCAAGAAGTTACCAAAGTAACCTCTCTTGAATTGGGTAATTCATGAAAAATATTGAATGTTAGTGTTTGTGTAAATTCATGCGAGTATTAGTCGGCCCAAAGGAAGGTTAATATTTGGCCGAATTACATACACACCTGTAATGATAAACATGTGATAATTATAAGGATTTGCTTTGTCAATGATAAATCAATCCAAAGACTAGTTTGTTGTTGGACGTGCTTTATTGTCAATGTTTGATTATTACAACACGATACCTCTAGCAGTTAATATTACTGTCCAAAGACTTGATATTGATGGTGCATTGGGTGTCTTGAGATGGGTTAAACCATTATTTGAACATATGTTTTATTTATAAATTTTTTTTATAATGTGAGCATAATTAATTTATTTCTCTTGTTTTTAATTTAGCTATAATTGATTCTGTATCTGTCAATTTAAATAATGTTCTGATCCTCAAAAGTATGTCTCCTATTTTGGTATGTTCTGAAGTCAATTTAGCGTCAGTACCTAGTAACACTTGGTGGTTAGACTCAGGTGCAACTACTAACATCAGTGTTTCTATGAAGGGTTGCTTAAGCTACCAGAAACCAATTGATTCTGAAAGATGAATATATGTTGGAGATGACAAATCGGTAGAGGTGGAAGCTATTGGGCATTTTAAATTGTTATTGAGTACTGGTTTTTATTTGGATTTGAAAGACACTTTTGTTGTGCCGTCATTTAGACAGAATTTGGTTTCAGTTTCTTATCTGGACAAATTAGGTTATTTGTGTTCATTTGGAAACAATAAGTTTAGTTTGTCTTTTAATTCAGATATTATTGGAACTGGTTCACTTTTGCCTTATGATAATCGATATTTACTTGATATTGTGGCCACCTATAATGAAACCCTTAATATAGAATCACGTGGTATTAAACGTAAAATTGAAAATACTCACTCAGGTGCATTATGACACAAGTGCTCATGTCACAATCGAATCGTGACGTTTGACCTTGTGTTACACTCTTAAAGATATGGTAAAGAGTATGATTTGTCATTCCACTTTACTGGAATCACTTTGGGGAGAGACACTAAATATGACAGCTTATATTCTAAATAGAGTACCAACTAAAACAGCTACCAAAACATCTTATGAGCTTTGGACTGGGCGACAGCCTAGTCTGAAGCATTTCCATGTGTGGGGATGTCCAGCTGAGGCAAGGCCTTATAAGCCAAATGAAAAGAAATTGGACTCCCGAACAGTAAGTAGTTATATTATTGGTTATGCTGAAAGATCCAGGAGATATAAATTTTATGATCCCACATTAAAGACAATTTTTGAGACGGGAATTGCTACATTCTTTGAGGATATTGAGTTTGGGGGGAAGAATAAGATTAAGAATTTCATCTTGGAGGAAGAATCGGTAACAATTTCAGAACCGATTCAAATAGTTACTTTTGATAAAGTAAGTTCGGAACCTCCACAAAGCATTGTTGATGAACCCCTTACTCAAGATGATTTGGTTGTTCATGAAGAACAAACTCAAGATCCTCAAGAACATGTGCATCATTAACTAATAACTTTGTAGAGATCCACTAGAGAAAGAAGAAGTGTTATTTTGGATGATTACATGGTATTTCTTTAGGAACATGAGGAAAATAATGATATAATGGAAGATGACCCAGTTAACTTCCGTCAAGCTATACAAGGTTCTAACTCTCAAAAGTGGATTGAAGCAATGAAGGAGAAGTATAAGTCCATGCAAGACAATAAGGTTTGGGAACTTGTCCCATTACCAGAAGGTATGAAACTCATTTGGCTTCAAGATGAATATTGTTGATGATTATGTGTATCACAAGTTTAAAGGGAGACAAGTTTAGTCTCAATCAGTGCCCAAAGGGGAATTTGGAAATTGAGGAAATGCAAAAGATTCCCTATGCATCAGCGGTAGGGAGTTTGATGTATGCCCAAGTATGTACGCGTCCAGACATAGCATACATAGTTAGGGTTCTAGGCAGATATTTAAGCAATCCAGGAATAGACCATTGAAAAGCAGCAAAAAGAGTCATAAGATATTTAAAGAGAACAAAAGATTATATGCTCACATATAGGAGGTCAGACCAGTTGGAGATTGCTGGGTTTTCTGACTCAGATTTTGTAGGATGTCAAAAATTTGTAACATGCTATGAGACATCAAATCATGGAATATGGCTGAGAAATTTTATCACAGGGCTGCAAATTGTGAAAGGCATTGAAAGACCACTTAAGTTATATTGTGACAATAAATCAGTTGTATTGTTAAGGAAAGAGTACAAAGTGGACAAATTTTCATAGAACACTTAAGGACAAACTCCATGATGGCATATCCTCTAACTAAAGGACTTCCGCCCAAGGTCTTTCATGAGCATGTTGCTCACATGAGTGTTTTACAGTTTGAGGAATTTGTGGTTTAGTGAGAGTTAGTCACTTTCATATATTTTATGTTCTATGTTTAATTTCATATATGTATACATTGATTTTTGGACATATTTGGTTATCTATAAATATGCGGTTTTTTTGTTCATTCATTACACTTTGTACATTAAGGATATTATATCGATCTCAATAAGTTAAAGTTTGGACCAGTTGAAAATAGACGTGTACATATCACCTTCACGTAATTTTTCATGCTACACATTTCATGATGAATCCATGTCATTTAGTTATGTTAGGATGAGTAATCATTGTTCGTTTTAATTGCGATGATGCAATGAAAAGCTGATTTTGTTCTATATCGTGATATGATTAATGGACAGAACTTTTGGAGTCTGCTAAAGGAATATAATGACAATTTTGAGCTCATAAAGTCTGACACATTTGTAAGGTTGTAAGGACATATATATTTGTGATCAGTGGGAGATTGTTGGCAAAATTTGGGTCATGTATATATATGATACATAATTTAAATGTGTTAGGACCATTATTTATTAAGCCAAATAATAAAGTGATCTGACTAAATTAAAGTTTTGACTAAAGGCATATGTCATGAAAATAAAATTGTGTAAAGACCATAGAACAATTTCTAATTTGATGAGGGGTCAAATTGGAAATACTAAAATTTAAGTAATTAACCTAATTCTGGTTATCTAAAGGGTCATGGTCCCCTTCTAGGAGCACGTAGACAGAACGTAGTTACAGTCCCGTTCTATTCTTTCTATCCCCATCAAGAGAGAAAATCCATAGGGAAATACAGGTGCTCTTCAGGTGGAAGACCATAAGATCAAATCAAAGGTGCTCTACAAAGAATATCATCATTATGGTTAATTCAGTGTACCTTTACTTGATCAAACAACCAAAAATTCAGTTATTTCAACTACATAAAATGAGCTTTCGCGATTTAGTTTATAACATGTTTACAATATGAGATATATATATATATATATATATATATATATATATATATGTTTGATCATTAGGAAGAAGATCATATTTAATTATCAGTTTATCTAACAAAATATATATATATATATATATATATATATATATAATAATAGTTTTTGTTTATTCTTAACAATTCCGTTTAGATGATCTTAAACTTTTTAAAAGACAGTGAAGGGAGACCCAGGAAACAAGCATCAATGATGGAGGGTGAAGTTGCTGCTGGCGAGGAACGCGTTTTCGAGTTCCAAGAAGAGCTTAAAAAATGAAAACATTCAAGAATTGTTCAGTTAACAAAATTATACTACTAACATGTGCCCTTTAGATTTTTCATTTGCAATGGTGTACGGAGAAGTGACGTTCATTAAACTCACATTCTCACCCAAAATAATATTTTCTCAGTTTAGGTATGCACTTATTAAATGCTCCAGATTAACAACAATAATGTATTTGCTGTTCATTTTGTTTTGTTTCAATAATATTAAATTATTTACTAATTTTCTTTTGAAATTAATGTAATAAACCTCTTCTATATACGATTTAGTTATAATATAAGTCAATTTTTATTGTGGTAGTTTAATACATTAATATACACCAAACATGTACAGCTACGAGCACAATACACCTAGAATAGAAAAGAAACGCAAGTGCTAGGATATATATAATTATTTTTTTTATTTTATATATTTATTTGAAATAAAAAAGGAAGTAATTGAAGTTGGCATTAAATTTTGCGAGAGAACGAGAGATCCAAGAAGTGGTATCGCAATTATTAACGTAACTTAATTGTACGAAGAATTGTTGGATGCCACATTGTGTGATCTTTTGATGTAATTAAGGTTATGAATTCTAATTAGTGATTGTTGATGGCAAATGGATGAGTTGCAAATTTAGCACATCAACGTGTTCGTTCGATCAAGCGTGCACGAAAAGTTGTCACGTAGCTTTTCAATACCAAATCATCTCTTGCAGTATTTTAGCATTCAAAAACAGTATTTCAAACATACTCGTGATTTTATAAAAACATAAACACTTTTTTAATTTGCTACTTTGCTTAAATCGATAGACCCTTATTATTTAGTATATATTATAGCAAGTTGTCTAATATTTTTTACAATCCTCACAATTAGATACACCTAATTAGTAAGTAACGTAGCGTTAGTCAATCTAATAACAATTACTTATTTAGTAGCATCGTGGTAGATTTTGTTCCATAATTCTACCGAACGCCCAAGAAAAGTCTGAATTTTACTACGATGTTGATAAATTAATATTACAACTTTAGAAAAGTGTTTGAACGATGGCGTAGAGAAAAATTAATGATGATGATAACATTAATAAGAGTAATGGTGGAATCACAGAGCTAATAGCACTCGCTATGTGCTTAGTACCTAATCAATTAATTACATTTCCCTTAGGATCTTCCCAACCAACCACGTCACCCAGAACAAGACTTGAACCTCAGATTCCACAAGCTAATTCTACACCAAATTATCGTTAATGAAGTTCTAATTTTTAAGGTAGGTTTTTCACTCGAGATAACAACAACAAATATGCATAACAAAAATGAAAACAATAAAAACTGTGTTCATGTCAGCATTACATTCATGATTAAGAATTTTAAAATATTTGATTATAAAAAAAGTTTTTAAATATTAAAAAATATCTAACTTAATTTTATAAAATCAATTGGTAAGAACACGTATATTTTAGTATTACTAGTCAATTTCATTATGTAATGATGAAATTTGCATCACACCACGAGACAGATTTCGGCTATCTTAATATTATTAAAGTCAAATCAATATTAAAAATATAAAAATAATACTTAATTATATTTTATAAAATATATACCTATGATTATTTTTAATAAATATAGATCACACCTTTCATCTTGATTATTTTTCGTTCAAAAAATAATGACAAAATAAAGTTTTTTTTAATTTCGTAATAATAGTGCTAAATATATTACTTATGTTAGTTTATTTCAATAATAAAAAACATGTATGATTAATAAATTTAAACTATTTTTAATTATACAACAATTAATTTTTAAAATAAAAATCGGAAAATATCTAACACAAATTTAAAATATTTATAAAATGAGATTTATATTCACTTATATATTTTAATATTAATAATTGTTAATGCAAAATTTGATCACGATGATAAAATTTACATCACACATATATAATATTAAAGTAGATTTTAATTATTATAATATTATTAGAATGAAATATAATACAATATTAAAAGTAAAAAAAATATTTATTTCCACTCTATAAAACTTATAAGAAAAAATCTCCACCTTATCTAATTACTTATAATATATTATTATTTTATCTTTAATCAATATAAATCACAACCCTTATCTTAACTATTTTTGGTAATAATATTGCTAAATATATGTCGTATGGTAGTTTATTTCAATAATATATTTTTTTTAAGATTTTTGGTCGGTCAGTATCGTTTATTGGTAGAAAATAATTTGTAAGCATAAGAATTGTGAAGAAAGTAGAATTTATGTTAAACATGATATCTTAAAATAATTATTGTACAAATCAATAAAATTACATATATTTAAGGATAACTTATAACAAATAAAAGGTATTATCTTTCCATTTTAAAATAATGTATTAAATTTTAATTTTGTAGACAAATTTTTTTAGTGAATCTACTCAGCATTTTCAACTTGCATTTTGTTGCACAAACTTTGACGCTTTCCTCACGTTCGTCCAACTTTGCATTGATATAAACCAAACTCGTCAAGTTTTATAATAATGCAGTAACAATACTTTCTCCTAAGATAAATAAAAAGTAATTCAATACTATTTTTCTCGTTCAAATGATAAAAAATCATTTTAAAGTCAGAAATATTGTGTTTTTAAACTATAGTACCATTAAAATAATTATCTACATGACTCATGAATTAATTTAACTTAATCTTTGGGGTCCCGCAGCCTTCAACACCAACCACCAGGTAGCATTAAATTGTTATCAAAGTAAAAGGAAAGTGAAAAAAGAAAAGGAAAGTTAGAAGGCACGTTGCATTATAATACTCTCTGTCCAAACCAAACAGTGCTTGTTTTGTGTCTGCACTTGCATTCCTAATAAAATACAGGAACTGATTATTCGAACGTTTTTATTGGCTAATGCATACGTATGAATGATGAATCATATGTAGGTGTTTCTAACGTGTGTTTACGAACGATAAATCGTACTCTTTTCATTAGAATTTGCAACGAATCATAAGATTATATTATATGAATATTTTTATGGCTTAATATTTATTTATTTATAATAATTTTTTCATTTAAATTTTTGTAATCATTGTCCTCTAACCCATGATCAACAAATCATGAACAAAATATTCTTGTATGTTATTTTCCGTTTGTAAAAGAATCAGAACACTATCAGCAAGCGATGAATCAATTATAGAGTTGTTTATTATAATTGTGTCACAATTTGTAAAAAAACATTGAAATAAAAAGAATATTGTCACACATTAGAATTTTATCAGAGTGGAACAAAATTATCTTGACTCATGAAAAAATATTATAAGCTTCTTGAGAAACGGAAGAAAGAAGGGTTGTTCAACGGGTCAATTCATGAATCGCAAAAAATGAATTTAGAAAGGAGGAAGGCACCTTCCTTAAATGCGTCTCACGGTTCCAAAACCAGAATTAGCTGTAAAGTACACAGCCAACCAAAGTCAGATCCAGTCTGAATCCATTTCAATCCACCACGCTGCCATGTACAAACACAAGCACATTACCTTCTTCATTCATTCATTCATTCATTATTGTACTTAACAAGACATTTTTGTTCTGCTTCCACCCCTACCTTGCAACTTGATCTATGTATCTATCCCCTTTCACGTGCCACAGACACTTAGACAGATAGACTCATGGTCAAATGATGAGTACTTTCCCCGGTTGTCTTTCTTGACTTTTTTTTTCCCCTCTTCTCTTCTATTCTCCTCCACAACCACAAATTCACCTTGCCGTATCCACCCTTTCGTTTCACGGTTTCTTTTTCAATTTCCCTCTCCTTCAACGCTCACACTCCTTTCCATTTTCTTACGTCTTAAATCACTATTCGTCCTATTCCAAATCATGTTTTACTCTTCTTGATTGGTCAATCCTGTATTTTTCTTACCCTTTGGCTGTGTTCATATTCTGTCTTTCCTTCTTTCTCCTCACGTTACATAACCTTGATAAAGCATTAAATAAAAGATAAAACTGCTACAAAGATCTTGTCTTTACTTCTTATTCTGTTTTGGGTCGTTGGTCTCACACTGCTAGCAGTTAGATTTTTTTTTTTCTTCCTTTTCTTTCAGATGAATTCTATTTCTACCCTGTACGTTTGATTTCCATTTGCTGTTGAGTGAACATGGGAAAACATTGTTCTTTCTGGCATATTGTAGGCACACTTTTCCTTTTGTGCAAAGTTTGTTTAGCTGGGAGTCAATATACTGGAAGTGTCTTACCTGGGGCAATAAAGGGTTCTCAAATGAATTGGATCGACAGAGATGGCAAATTCCTCGTATCAAACGAGGGACAATTTTCCTTTGGCTTTGTAACCACAGTGAATGATACCACCATGTTTCTACTTTCAATCGTCCACGTGGCCACTACTACGGTCGTTTGGACTGCTAATAGAGCAGTTCCTGTCGCTAATTCCGACGATTTTGTGTTTGATGACAAGGGCAACGCCTTCTTGCAGAAAGGTGGAACAGTGGTTTGGTCCACAAACACAAGCGGCAAAGGGGTCTCTTCAATGGAATTGCGTGACAATGGGAATTTGGTTTTGCTTGGGAGTGATAATAGTACAGTGATTTGGCAAAGTTTCAGTCATCCAACAGATACTTTGTTGCCAACTCAGGAGTTTAAAGAGGGAATGAAACTCGTCAGTGATCCTAGCACGAACTACTTGACCCATATTCTTGAGATCAAGTCTGGTATTGTTGTTCTCTCCGCAGGTTTTCAAACTCCGCAGCCTTATTGGACTATGCAGACGGACAGCCGCATAACCATCAATAAGGGCGGTAATGAAGTGGCTTCAGCAAATATTAGTGAAAATTCGTGGAGGTTCTATGACAAAAGCAAATCACTGTTGTGGCAGTTCATTTTCTCTTCAGGTCCAGACTCAAATGCGACTTGGATTGCTGTTTTGAGGAGTGATGGCTTCATCACCTTCTCTACCCTCAGCGGTGGAGTGTCAAATGCTGCTTCTGAAATGATACCCAAAGATCCTTGCGGTACTCCAGAACCTTGTGATGCATACTCCATATGCACAGATGACAAGAGGTGTAGCTGCCCTTCTGTTATTCCTAGTTGCAAACCTGGTTTTGACTCTCCTTGTGGTGATCACTCAGAAAAATCCATTGAGTTGGTTAAAGCTGATGATGGACTCGATTACTTTGCGCTTCAATTCCTTCAACCGTTTTCCAAAACCGATTTGGCTGGTTGCCAAACATCATGCCGTGGAAACTGTTCTTGCCTTGCTATGTTCTTCCACAGAAGTTCGGGGAATTGTTTCTTGTTGGACAGTGTAGGAAGCTTTGAGAAACCTAATTCTGATCCTGGTTATGTTTCATACATCAAGGTCTCGACAGATGGAGGTTCTGGCTCGGGTTCTGGGGGCGGTGGAAGTGGCAATAAGCACACCTTATTTGTTGTGATCATTGTCATAGTAACCTTGGTTGTCGTTTGTGTTCTTGTCTTTCTGGGAGTTAGATACCAGAGAAGAAAGCAAAGGTTGCCCGAGTCTCCTACAGATGGTTCTGAAGAGGCCAATTTCTTGGAGAATTTGACTGGTATGCCAATCCGTTACAGCTACAAGGACCTTGAAACTGCCACTAATAACTTCTCTGTGAAGCTTGGGCAAGGGGGTTTTGGGTCAGTGTATAAGGGCGTTCTACCAGATGGAAATCAAATAGCAGTGAAGAAGTTGGAGAGTATTGGACAAGGAAAGAAAGAGTTCAGGGCTGAAGTTAGCATAATCGGCAGCATTCATCACCTCCATTTGGTTAGGCTTAAGGGATTCTGTGCTGATGGAACTCATAGGCTTCTTGCTTATGAGTACATGCTTAACGGCTCCTTGGATAAATGGATATTCAAGAAAAACAGAAGTGAGTTTCTGTTGGATTGGGATACCAGGTTCAATATAGCTCTGGGAACAGCAAAAGGACTTGCTTATCTGCACGAAGATTGTGACTCCAAGATTGTTCATTGTGACATCAAACCAGAAAATGTGCTTCTGGATGAACACTTCATGGCCAAGGTTTCGGATTTTGGGCTGGCTAAGCTCATGAATCGAGAACAAAGCCATGTTTTCACAACACTAAGGGGCACCAGGGGCTATCTTGCCCCAGAGTGGATAACAAACTACGCTATATCAGAGAAAAGTGACGTTTATAGCTATGGGATGGTGCTGTTGGAGATCATCGGGGGAAGGAAAAACTATGATCCTAGTGAGTCTTCAGAGAAATCCCATTTCCCAACTTTTGCTTTTAAAATGATGGAAGAAGGGAAGCTGAGGGATATTTTTGACTCGGAGTTGAGAATTGACGAGAATGATGATAGGTTTCTATGTGCTATAAAAGTTGCATTGTGGTGCATACAGGAAGACATGTCAATGAGGCCATCTATGAGCAGAGTTGTACAAATGTTGGAGGGTATTTGTATTGTTCCTAACCCACCAACCAGTTCTTTCTTGGGTTCTCGCCTTTATGCAACTGTCATGAAATCCACCAGTGACGGGGCCACCTCTTCTGCTCCCTCAGACTGTAACAGTGATGCTTACCTCTCTGCGGTTCGCCTCTCAGGGCCTAGATAACAATCACTGTCTCTTTGTTTCTTTGTATGTTTGTTGAGTAAATTAGTATGCAATGCAGCAGAGCTATTCATGCTTCCCGCTCTTGTACATTTTGTTCAACTTCCTCAAATTTTGTAATATACACACCTAGTCATAATCATCCTGCATTTCTTTCTTTCCTTCTTTTCTTCATTTCTTATACATTATTAACCTACAAAATCTAATATAGTGTACAGGTTTTCTCTCTTCAAAAGATATTAATTTTCGATCATCAGCATGATAACCTAAACAGTAACTTACACTTTCCTTCTACAGTTCTACTATTACAAGAGAATTCCAAATTTTTATTAATCAAAAGATGCTGTCAGCCTGTCAGGTCAGGGTCAAGACTGGTGCTATTAATGACTCATAGGCTATAAGTCTGCATACATTGAACTATTTTTTGAAATTAAAAAATATATATTCAAAATATTAAAAAAATATCATATCATAATATAAAATATTTATTGTAAATCTAAAATATAACTTATATGTTCAAAATGAATCTATTAATTAAAGAGCAAGGGAAGATAAAATAAAAATATTTTTAAAAATAAAAAACAAAGTACTTAACATATAGTGGAAGTTGTGTTCAGCTATGACAAGTCGGTTCCTTTTTTTTTCCTTTTTTTTTTAAAAGATCATTGGATACTTTCGTTACATGTATCCTAAAGTATCATGAAAATATCACATGTCTATGCGATACTTTTTCTTATTTTTAATTTAGGAATCGTATCTTCTTGGGATCATGATGCATTGATCTATTCAAGCCACTTCGGATAAAATAAGTTTGTTTTATCTTTTTAAAAAAAAAAATTCTATTTACTATTTAGAAAGTATTCTCCTTTTTTATCTGTCACGATTTATTTGAAAAATATTCTGTTATTCTAATGTCCCTCTGTGTATCTATCTATCTATATAGTTAAGAGATATTCATAGAAAGGTAAAAATTTTAAAAATTGTATCTACTACAAATTAGTATAATGTTAAAAGAAAGAAGGTGCGTTTGCGTGTGTGGCGTGTGACAGAGATAATGAGATTAGGTGTGAGTAAGCACGTTGTGCGGTGCTCAATCGGCACTGTTTCAGGCGAGTCCAAAACCCATTTTCCCGCCAAATCACAACCTTCATCTTTCTCAACTGTCAAGTTCCGCCCCGACAATGCTTCTTCAGGTGAGCGAGACAACAACCTTAAACCAAAAACTCTATCGGACGAGGTCGTTATTGTGTTTATACTTCACAATTTCTCAATACGGTGATGGTATATCGTAGATTTATCGGTTTCTAGAAGCAGCAGGAGAGAGCTGATATGCATAGCCACGTGGCCATGTCTTCGTCCCCTCATAGGTTGTCTCCCAGCCAACGCCTTGCAGTAAGTATGTATATAATTAACTTTGGATTTTGTCGCATAAAAATATTCACAAGCACAATATTACGCTCATGTCTTGAATGCATTGTGGTCATTGAAGGCCTGGTGCAAAGGAATATCTTATCATTAAAGAAGAGGTGAGGAAGGTGTTGTCTAAGGCAAAGGCAGCTGGCGTGCTTCGATTGGTTTTCCACGATGCTGGAACATTTGACATCGATGACAACACAGGTATGATTCTTATGTTATAACCGAGGACTCAGAGTAGCTAGTAATTTTGGCCTTCTAATTTTCTGGCAAAATCCAATGAAATTTTACTCTCTTGTATAATGAAATTTTGTATGACAAAGTTGAGTTGAAAATTATCTTTGGTTTTTGTTACTGGTTAAAGAGTTTAATAGGCATGTTGTGTCTATGTCAACCAATTAGAAATTAACATTAGTATGAGTTTAAAAGTAGTTGTTATACACGATTTGTAATTGGATTGGATGATAGGATAAATGTCCTTTACACTATCTACGCATAAATGTCCAAAGTCGCGGAGCCAATACTATTTGTTTTGACGAATATAATTAAGCTTGCATCCTCTGCTCCACATGCTTTCTTGATCATCCAATTTGGCGTCAGGGGCGTAAAACTAAAACTATGCACAATTCCAAGCTTAGTTTGATTTTAGGGTTTAAAGCCTTCCAGGAAAAACACCAATCCACATTAGCACGGTGATAATGTTGGAAGTTTCATATTGACTAGAAATATAACTAAATTGTAAATTGTAATATATAGGTGGAATGTAAATCTTACTTCACATGTCGTCAATTTTACAAAATTGACTTAGGTTAATGATCACTTTCTAATAGATAAAAACCACGATTGTGAGCTAGTGATGGCTTTTTTGGATATGTCTCTTTCAAACAAAATTGTCATTTGACTTCTCTCCCTCCCATGTAATGGATAATGTTGTCATTATCACCAATGACGTCAATTTCCTTATTCTTATCAATTTCAAAATGTTTATATATTTCTATGCACTTTCCATGCTGTTGCAGGTGGTATGAATGGTTCTATAGTCTACGAACTTGAAAGACCCGAAAATGCTGGCCTAAAAAAATCAGTAAAGGCATGCCCTGTCTCACTATTTTCTGATTTCCCTTCTATCACCACTCTTTCTATTACTGTTTGAAGCGTTGCATATGATAGTATGCTCTGTAGTCTAAATTACTTGATCATTAATATATATATCTTATCTTACATTTAACTGCCAGCTACCTCAGTGGATGTATCACATGTTTTTTAGGTTCTGCAAAAAGCAAAGACTCGGATAGATGCTATCCAACCAGGTCCTTCTTCTATCTGGTAACTGCTGCTAGTTGTGAGTGATAATTTGGTGTAGACCAACTAGTTTTTGTTTACCTTTCTTAGTATCTTGGGCGGACATGATTGCTGTAGCTGGAGCTGAAGCAGTTGAAATATGTGGAGGTCCAACTATCCAAGTTTCACTGGGCAGATTAGATTCATTGTAAGATGCTAGGTTTCTACTAGACTTGTACTCTAGTTTGTATGAATGGCGTGACAAACTCTTTTCTTAACAGGATAAAAAACAAGCAGTTAAATGTTAGTTTTGTAAGATTGTTTGTCTAAAAATGTTGTTAACCAGTTATTGAATTATGTTCAATCTGTTGTTTAATGAATAATCAACCATTTTGCAGGAAGGAAAAAAAAAAATCCTCCAAGGGAAATTTAACTCATTGGTTTTCACATAACAACGAAACCTGGTTTTGTCTTCTATCAAATAATATTGTATTCATTTTATTAACAGGGTGCCTGATCCAGAAGGGAGACTCCCAGAGGAATCTCTTAATGCTTCTGCTTTGAAGAAATGTTTCCAGAGCAAAGGCTTATCGTGAGTATGAGGAAAACTCTTATTTACTTTGTATTTGTGTTCTATAAAGTGTTATTTATATGTACCTATTTTAGAAAAGTACAACTATAAGCTGTCTGATTGCCCGTAACATGAGAACCTTAACGCTACAGAGGCAAACTGAATATTATATCTTATAAAGTCTTAATTCTAGACCAGATTAACAAGGCAATAAATACAGTGTTTTACAGACAAAAAAAAGTCACTGATCATATGTTTATTAGTTTTTGTGTAAACTTTTCAACATATTTTACCCGAATTTATTTGTTTACGCATCCTAATCCTCTTGGAGCTTTTCTTCCGTAGAACACAAGAACTTGTGGCATTGTCTGGAGCCCACACTATTGGAAGCAAAGGTTTTGGAAGCCCAAATTCTTTTGATAATTCATATTATAAGGTCCTTTTGGAGAAGCCATGGACGTCTTCAGGTAATTTAACAGCTTCTCTCATCTAAACATTTTTTTATATATTTTTTTAAAACTTGCAGTTCTCTAAATAAGGAAATGCAGGAGTTAAATTCTTGTTACTTTGTTAGTCTTAGCCACTTTATTATCACATAATTTATGTCTAGTCTTCTCTGGATCTTAATGTTCCAATCAAGTTTTTCAGTTTCTTTGGCATCAATTTTGCCTTCCTATAAACTACTACTAATGACATTAATATCCGGTATCGTGGTAAAGTAAGCTTAGGGCCAGATTAACAGCTCAACTCTGATTGCAGGCTCATTTTTTTGGATAAACCTAACATATTTGTTGGTTTGTTTTCATAATTTTTTTAACTACTATAATTATCATCTGCCTGCTATCTTTTATGCAGGTGGTATGTCGAGTATGATTGGTCTTCCTTCAGATCACGCCCTTGTCGAAGATGACGAATGCTTAAGGTTCTTTATCTCTTGACAACCTCTTATGCTACCCTTATATTGAATAGGCCCCCACTTTTTTTTTTTTTTTCCTTTTCTTGATAAGCACTAAAATTTTAGTTCAAGTAATGTTAAGTTATCTGAGCAGATGATAAAACAATTAAAAATGAGAAGAGTTTCCTTTTCTTATTTTCCAGAATTCAAAGAAAATAGCAGGTAAGGGAAATAATGAAATCAAGTATAACTAGCTGCATATCAATTGGTAATGTATAAGTTATGTTAGTTAGATTTCTGAAATTAAAATTCGTCATATAATAGTTTTGTTGGCCTTAGGGCTCATTTCTGCTTCCCTTTTGTCCATGTGAGCAAACAACCACGTGCTGAGTAAACTAGAGTCGTTATTGTCCATAAAAATGGGCATCAATCATGTATTTTGGAGGGAAAGATTTAAAACTTTTTGGCTGGACCATTTATTATATCTTATTATTGATGACTAAAAATTCACTTGCACGTTATATATTACAGTGCACCGCATGTGTTGTGTATGTTTCTACTAATTATATGTTCCTTAGTGTGCATGACTTAAGACAGATCCATTGATTGAACAGATGGATTAAAAAATACGCAGACAGTGAGAATCTGTTCTTTGAAGATTTCAAAAAAGCATATCTCAAGCTGGTGAATTCTGGTGTGAGGTGGACAAACTTGTAAACTCAGGAGTTGAATGTTCTAACTTCCACTGAAGGGGCAACTTGCATTTTTATTGACTTTCTAATGGTGTCACAGTTGCCATGAAGCATGTGCATTCAGGGCCAATAAATTTCATGCAAAAGTCGTTTAAGTTGAAAGTTGGAAGGCATGACATGTGGAGCAATTTAGTTATGAGCACAGTTCATCCTTAAAACACAACCAATCAGAACTTTATATATTATATATATATATATATATATATATATATATATATATATATATAAGTGGATTTTTTAATAAACTTCTTCATAAATATTTGTAAGAAAAAAAATTGAAATTAGATTCTTCATAAATAAATTTATTTATTTATAAGCTAATCATTCTTTAGAAAAATTTTCACATAGGTTTTTTATAATTTTATTCTTAAATGTGTTTATAAGTTAATTTTAGTTTATGGAGAAGTTTGTTTTCTTTTGTAAAAGTATTTATAGAAAAATTAGGTCAAATAAACTTTAAAATAATAATAATAAACTTTAAAAATTCACTTGCACGTTACATTTGGACGTTTTAATATTTAAAATATTATTTTATGATACTTTCGAATAGTTGGAGTATAATTTATATATTTTTCTTATTGAAATAATAATTAAAAGTTTATTCCATAAAAAATAATGCAATCTTTTTATCAGAATATCTAATTTATTGTTATATTAAATTATTTTATGAGCAAAACATCGTATTTGTTATTAGAAATAACATGGTATCGATATTATGTGAAAACAATTTTAATGCAACCAAGAAACATTTTCGGGTGAAAATATTATTTCTTGAAACATAAACCAAACATGAAAACAAATATTCTCAAAGACCCCATGATGAAAATTTTCGTCCCATTCTCGACTTAATGATATGTTACACGTAACTTTTAGTCAATTACAAAATAGAACGCTAATTATATGAATATATCAAGTTAAGAGATTAAATATTAAAAATAACAATGAAAATAAAAACAAATTAATTTTAGTCTAATTTGCAGTGATCTAATTGATCATCTAATGGCATTTAATTTATCCAATATTATTCATTATTTAGTTCAATCAGTCTTGTTTTTCTTTGTCTTCTCATTTTAACTTGAAGATAATTTTTGCCAATATTTGAAGAAAAATAAAAGTTAACATAAAAAAATAATGGTGGAATAAATATCATATATCTATATTAGCCCTGTACTCAAATTTAATATTGTCACTTGCTCTCCTGGAGTAAGTGGAAGTAATTTTTTTTTAATCAAAGATTTTTTGCCTGTGGTTTTGAAAATTGAAAGAGGGAAGATAGGAAAATTGCCCTAACATTTTTTATTATTTAACTAGTCTATTGACCCATGTATTCGTACGAATCACAATTCAAATAATTTGGATCGATGATTTAGGCATTTTGTAATATTTTATTTAGAATCAAAGTTTAAGCGGAAGGTAATTAGTGCCAAATGAAATAAAAAGTAAATGATATAAAAAAATATTAAAGTGAGTTAAATTTATTCTTAAAATAACTTAATCGCTGGTAGTCACGCAGATAGTCTCTGTACTAAAGCTCCCAGATAGTCTTTACATTGACGGTCTCTATACGGTAACCATGTCACTAAAAAGTAGAAAGGTGTCTCAAAACTTATAAAGGACTATAAAAGTATATAAATAAACAACACTTTCAAGATAAACACACATCATTAACTTCCATTTAGTTACTCATTTGAGCTTTCAAATATCTTTTTATACCCTCATAAAGGCAGCACGTCAAGGAGTAAGTATGAATAATCAATATATATATATATATATATATATATATATATATATATATATATATATATATATATATATATATATATATATATATATATATATATATATGGAGCTAAAAAAATATAACAAATTGTCATTTTTTTCAACTAAAATATATATGTCATTTTTATCTCTTATAATTATTATTCACCATAACATAAATCTTTTATCGCTATTATTACTAATAATGTTGAATTTATATATTATAAATAAGCTATCTCTCAATCTCATTAGCAAATAACAATACAATCGGAATTGGTTATTTTAAAAGCCAACAACATTTGGTCTCTCACACCGCTCTCTCGGGAAAACAAGTTATTAGTTGTAGTTAGGTATACAAAATCAAACACAAATTTGATGGTTCTCTTGAATGATATAAAATTCAATTAATAGCAAAATGTTACACATAAGTTGAAGGAATTGATTACCATGATACTTTTTTACCAACTTCTAAAATGGATACAATACATTGTTTATTAGTTTTGGCAACCGCTCAAAAATGGTTACTACATCAACCTAATGTTAAGAATGTCTTTCTTCATGGAGACTTTTATGAAGAAATTTATATATCTCTTCCTCTTGTTTTTTAGTGACAGGGGTAGAATTTTGTGTGTGCTGTCAACAAATCCTTATATGAATTAAAACAAATAATTCGTTAATGGTTTACAAAATTCTCTATAGTTATTCAAGATATTGGATTTGTTCAATCTAAATCATATTACTCATTGTTTACTGGTAAGAAAGACAAATCATTTATTTCCTTATTGATCTATGTTGACGATATCATCATAATTGGTAATGATCCGAATGCCATAGTTGTTCTTAAACATTTTTTGCATTAAAGATTTAAGTAACTTAAAGTATTTTTTGGGTATGGAGGTTTCTTGGTCAAAGAAAGGTATATTTATTTCACAAAGAAAATATGTTCTAGAGATTCTGTTTTGGAGTTAAGCCTGTGAATTATCCCATGATGCATAATGTAAAATTGTCAGGTGAAGTGAGTTTGTTAGAAGATCCATTCTCATATAGCGACTTGTAAGATGCCTAATTTATTTGACTTTTACTCGGCTCTATATCATTTACTTAATACACATATTAAGTAGATTCATACATGTTCCTTGTAAACCTCATATGGAAGTTGTCATGCAGATATTATGATATCTAAAAAACAATCCAGGTCAAGGTTTATTTTTCTCTTCCCAAAATGATTTTTTTTGCTTGCTTTATTGGGGAGGTTGTCCAATATCAAGAAAATCAACTACAAGTTATTGTCTTTTCTTGGGATCATTGTTAAGTGGTAAAAGTTGATATAATTATGTTTTTAATTGTTATGAAATCACTTAACGTATGCCAATTCTAATATATTTTTCTCCTAATGTAGGAGGAATTTGAGAATACCTTGATACAAGAGTAAGGAGCATAATTGTCAACATAATTGAAGCAAAAACTGAAAGGAGGAAGAAAATTTTCAACATAGAAGTCACTCGAGCGAGATAGACTCTCGCTTGAGCGAAAATTAGTTAAACTTCTCTGGAACTCACTCGCTCAAGCGAGCACTTTTTTTCTTGAGCAAAAATACTGAACTTTCGCAAGCGAAAGACACGAGGCCCAACCCAAATTTTCCTATAAAAAGATAAGACGCGTTTTGAGATGCAGTTTTAGGGTTTTGGAGAAGAGGTGCGACTTCTGTTCTGTTATTCAAGGATTCTTCAATTCTTCCTCAATTTAGAGCATTGTAATGACCATCATGAGTGACTAACTTTATTCTCTTGGGATTGAGTGCACTTCCTTTGAACTCTTTTGTGTCATGGTGATATTTTGAGATATTAATCTATGTTTTGATGTTGTTATTCTTATCTTTTGTGGCTTAGAATGATTTATTTTTTATGTTTGAGATATGATTGAAAAATATATCTTGAACCCTAGATCATGGTAATAATATTTGTTACGTTAATTGCCAGAAATGAAATAAATGTATCAATTGCTTAACACCCTAAACCTAATGCTGAAAAATCTCTTAATTATGTGCAAAATCAACATTTATTAGATTTTCTTATGAATTTTATGTGTGAGGAATCAACATGGATGATTTGAGTAGGTGACATCAACATTGTTAGATTAATTGATGATTTTAATTGGACATAGCCATTACAAAAGAGGAAAAAGGAAGAAAGTCAATCCTAAGTGTCTTTAATTGATATTTTCTAAACAATTTACAATTCTTTGTCATTTAATTTCAATTCAACTCTTTATGCAAAACCCATTTTGTTTTAATCCACTTAGTAAGCATATGATTTGGAATTTCCATTGAAACCATTTCTTATGGGATCGATTTTTATTTAATCGAAATACTATACTGCGATTGATAATTTTGGTACGTTTGCCAAAAATTCAACAAGTATTTTTGGCGCCGTTGTCGGGGAACGACGTTCCTTGATAATTCTTTGTTTAGCTTATTAAGTATTTTATTTTTATTTCTATTTTTGTTTTATTTTTTTTAGTTTTATTTTGCTTAATTATTGTCATGTGCTAATCTTGGCTTGAGTTACTCTTTGCTTTATGCGTTTAAAAGGACAGGTATCTTCAGAGCAATTAGAATTTAATCTGGAGATTGAAAAAAACGCTCAGAGGAACCGTGGTAGAAGAAGAAGGAAAACTCAAGAACAAGCCACAGGAGAATCTGTTAACCCTTCTCCTACACTCAACTTACTAGATCCAATCATAGAAGACATGGCGGAGGAAGGACCAAATCCAAATCCACCTGGAAGAACACTCAGAGACTATGTTATGCAGCAAGATCCGAGACACTTTTCCAGCATCGCAATACCAGCCAACCAAACATTGAAAATGAAGGTAGCTTTCTTCAGTTTGATTAGTGCTCATCATTTCACTGGAATGGATCACGAAGATCCCTACATTCACTTGTCTACTTTTTATGAGTTGATTAGTACCATGGGATTTAAAGAAACAAATATTGAATCTGCATACTTGAGATTATTTCCTTTTTCTTTGGCTGGCAAGGCAAAGGAGTGGCTGAAGGCACATCCTAATCAGAGTTTGACTAACTGGGGTAATGTAGAAGAGAAGTTTCTAAACAAATTTTTTCCACCATCCCCCTATATCAAGGCAAAGTCCGACATCTCTACTTTCAAACAAGAAGCATATGAACATTTTTGTGAAGTATGGGAG